GCTCTTCTAGGGGTCCTTCTCAGGTCGATTAAATGGAATCCTTGCGTCCCTCACTTGCGTCGTTTCCCTGCGTTTAGTCCCTCCCACCAGGGAAGCATGGAGAGACGCAAGGAAACCACGAGAAGCAGGGAAATGAGTTTTAAGAGCAATGGGACGTCCTTTCCTCCGGAGCGTCACGTGAAGCGACGTCCGTTTGTGATGACGCCGCACAGCTGTTCGTCTGACAGCAGCTCTGTCCCCGTTATTTTCACAAACACCCCCGCCTCTGTTAGTACACTTTTACTGACACAAACATTTGTATCATCTGTTGTAGACCCAAATACATCAAATCAAATAAGAACTCATTCTCAAAAAAGATAAACGCCATTCTTAAAATGTATAAACGAACAATAGTTGGATTAATATTGATTAGAGTGCACAATAGAAATAAAAATAATTCAGAGAAGAAAAAGAGATATGTTATCTATCAAAACCCAGTTAGATTAACATTCATTAATCATTGGATTGCACACTTTGTTTGTGTGGATATGTAGCAAATTAACATGTTAAATAGCACTTAATGACTGACTGAATGGAAATGACAATAAATGAAAATGTAAAACGAAAAAGCGATCATGAAAATGTTTCCAATAAATGAATAAAATAATTTTTGACCACTTTGTTGTTCAGATATATCACATATTTGTAACTGAATGATGCATTCATTGAAACAAAACACAGTATAAACTGAGGAGTGAGTCCCGTGAGTTTCATGTGTTTTCTTCACTCCGCTGGGAAACTGCTCTCATGTCAAGAAGCATCAGATCAGTGCATGCGCTGCATCGTCCAATCAGTGAGCGATACACAGTAAGGGGGCGGGGAGAGTATCTGAGGATTTCACCGGAGGATGGTCTGGTGGTTCCTCGGTTATCGCTCCTCCATTATCGCTCCTCGCTCCTCGATCCTCGGTCCTCCGGCAGAAATAAGAGCCATGGGACGCTACTCAAGATGGCGCAGACAAATCAACTTCCGGTGATACCGAGGACCGAGGACCGAGGAAATGAAAATAGTCGACCTGAGAAGGACCCCCAATCAAATATGCTCCACTACTATCCAGCTCTCTCCATTGACTTCCGTATACATACATAATTTTTCCGAAATAAGGGGTCCTTCTCAGGTCGACTATTTTCATTTCCTCGGTCCTCGGTCCTCGGTATCACCGGAAGTTGATTTGTCTGCGCCATCTTGAGTAGCGTCCCATGGCTCTTATTTCTGCCGGAGGACCGAGGATCGAGGAGCGAGGAGCGATAATGGAGGAGCGATAACCGAGGAACCACCAGACCATCTTCCGGTGAAATCCTCAGATACTCTCCCCGCCCCCTTACTGTGTATCGCTCACTGATTGGACGATGCAGCGCATGCACTGTTCTGATGCTTCTTGACATGAGAGCAGAGTTTCCCAGCGGAGTGAAGAAAACACATGAAACTCACGGGACTCACTCCTCAGTTTATACTGTGTTTTGTTTCAATTAATGCATCATTCAGTTACAAATATGTGATATATCTGAACAACAAAGTGGTCAAAAATCATTTTATTCATTTATTGGAAACATTTTCATGATCGCTTTTTTGTTTTACATGTTCATTTATTGTCATTTTCATTCAGTCAGTCATGAAGTGCTATTTAACATGTTCATTTGCTACATATCCACACAAACAAAGTGTGCAATCCAATGATTAATGAATGTTAATCTAACTGGGTTTTGATAGATAACATATCTCTTTTTCTTCTCTGAATTATTTTATTTCTATTGTGCACTCTAATCAATATTAATCCAACTATTGTTCGTTTATACATTTTAAGAATGGCGTTTATCTTTTTTGAGAATGAGTTCTTATTTTATTTAATGTATTTGGGTCTACAACAGATGATACAAATGTTTGTGTCAGTAAATGTGTACTAACAGAGGCGGGGGTGTTTGTGAAAATAACGGGGACAGAGCATGGATGTATAATAAGAACTGGATACAGCGTGGGAGGCGGGGCCTCATTCATTCCTATGAGAGTTGCTCAATCGCGCATGATGACAAAATGGCCCAACTTTTGAGAGAGCGAAACGTCACAGATTACCCGGCATGCCTGAGAAGTACCCGTATGTGCGCTCATAGCGCATGCGCAACTTTAAACATGCCCCCCAAAATGCTCGTTCACATCAAGCACGTCAATTTGCGTACACGTAACAGCACCGCGCGTTCATGACAGCATGGTAATGGGTTGTTATGATGGATTTGATATTAACGACGAGGCGGCAGTTAGCAGCTAGCGGCTAGCTAGTAATTATGCTAATTTACACATCAGTCGTTATGTACTTTTATATTACGCTGATGTAACAGGATCTAGTGATATCCAAGCAACAGAGCTTAATTTAGCATGATACTTGTGTGGGTTGTAGCCTACATGAAACCACTTGGTAATATATAAAAATATATGTATTTTGAGTTATGATCAATTGTGATTTAAATCTTTATCATTGTTCATTGTATATGTAAGTTATTTATATGTATGTAAGTTTTGTCTCGTGTGTATGTACTGTTTGTGATCGTTGTTGTGTCCTCACTCGTGGCCTGCACCTTGACGTGGTGAGTGGGCTTTAAACTAAGACAGGCCATTTATGTTTGAAATATCATGCTAACAAACCTGCAATTACAGAATTGAATGATAGTGGTTATATATGTTCATGTCTTGCTGACATTATTTGTTATCCTTTTCCGCATAGCCTCTCAGATGGATTCCTGTTTCATCTGTTGGTGTGCCACTGTCCAGTGTCTGCCGGCTGGCTCCCTCTCAGAAAAGTGCCATCTTCTGTCAACAGGAAGAACTGAGCCTCCCAACCAGCATTCTGACCATGAGTCTGACTCACTAAATGAAGCTCAGCGCAAGTTCTTTCAGGAAGACTGGGTATGTATACATTCACTCCGCAGCTGCTTATAATCAGCTCATCACAGGCGTTCTCTTTAACCTATTACATTCACCTCATTCTCCAGCAGCCAATCACCGAGCTGCAGCCAAACTTTAAAATGGTTCTCCTCTCTCCTGCAGTCAGCTGTGATTTCAGGTGTTCATGCTGCCGCCCGCCTCCTCCCCATCCACCTCCTCCCCATCCACCTCTTCTCCACCCACCTCCGTTCATCATATCCAGAGCCAGGAGAGCTAATCCAAAGACCTCATCACACCTCCTCTTCATCCCATCTCCTCATCAAATCCAGATCTTCATCATCATCACCAGTGTCTAGACCCCGGGGAGGTTCCCTATATGCTCACGGCTGCATTTCCCCCTTTAGATATAAGATTTCAGGATCGGGGTCTAATCGCCAAAGACTTAACATTTATCATATGACATGTGTCAATAAATGTTCTTTAAACAAAATGAAGTCTCTCCTGATTTAACTGTCTGGACCCCATCCTCAACTTTTTTTCAAACCACAACATGCCTTCAGAGGGCTTTCCTGTTGATCATAATTGGTGGATCTTTTAATCTAATAATTGCAATCAATATTATATATATTACCTTTTGATCTATATAAATTGTATTTACATTTGTTGTCACTATTTTTTCCACCTAGTTCTACAATGCCAGCCATAAGAGGTATACATTTCTTATTTTTGTGAATTTCTATATAAAATGCTGATTTTCTACCTGAAAATGCTTATGTATTTTTAATTACATTTTCGTAGAGCTTTGACTTTTTCAGCTGAATAAATATTATAACTAGATGGTTTTGTTCAGCATTGCCAGCTTCACTTTTGAGCTTTATGTTGTGCCCAGCATTCTCCTGTGCTCTGAAATCAAAATGTGGATAAGCATAACACAACACTAAAATAAACACTACAATACAACTTGTTATTTGACACACACAAGGTTGTTCATTTGTGTGTATAAATATAAAACACAGGCTATATATATATATATATATATATATATATATATATATATATATATACATATACAAGTATAATTAATACAACTGTTAATTTGATTAGAGCTTTGACACATATATCTTTATTTATATATGTATAAGTATGACGACTTCCTCGGGCGATATCATGGTATAGCTAATTAATCTGGGTCAAAACGTGTTGTGCCCACATGCAAAGGTTGTAAACTCTGGTTTATCCCTGCGTGGTATTATAGTAATAGCAAACAGCAACGTTCAACTCCTTTAATGGTATATTGCAAGTGCAATAAGAAGCTACAGGGACGTTAATCTACGTCGGTAATATTAACTTTATTTAATACAAGATTTACATCATACAGCCCATGTAGTATAATATTTTACAAATGATGAATTACAGCAAACATGTGCAATATATCCATTATTACAGCTCCGTGGGCTGGCAGTAAGGCGATATGGGTCCGTTCTTATCCATGGGTAAAGATAAACTCATGTGGTGCTGAACACGTCACATCACATGAACGTGCCGGGCGGCGCGGTCCCGTGGGTTAGATGCGCGTTCATAATACAGAGGGAAATAACTCTCAGAATAACGTTATTAGCACATTTTTACAACTTGAGGAACGAATGTTTTTAATAAGGGCTATACAAGTGTTCATACTGGGTAGTTTATTTAGTTTAAAAAAAATTATCCAACGAGTTACAGACCACTCTTTCCCCATGTAAGTCAATGGGAAAAAGTGTTTCCGGGCCTGGCAACCAAAAGGAAGTGTAGTACCGCCGTTTGGCCAGCACGAATATTTTCATCAGAGTCCGGCGCACTTCCTGGGGGCTTGGGACAGAGCTGCTGTCAGACGAACAGCTGTGCGGCGTCATCACAAACGGACGTCGCTTCACGTGACGCTCCGGAGGAAAGGACGTCCCATTGCTCTTAAAACTCATTTCCCTGCTTCTCGTGGTTTCCTTGCGTCTCTCCATGCTTCCCTGGTGGGAGGGACTAAACGCAGGGAAACGACGCAAGTGAGGGACGCAAGGATTCCATTTAATCGACCTGAGAAGGACCCAAGGTCCCATGGAGGTCCACCGGAAGGGGAGGGACTTCCACGACTCGGGCCCTCCCTGGCCAATCAGAAACAACTCTCGTTGAGGCAAGCGATCGTGTTGTGTCGCGATAGTTAGTGGGACTCGGATTCAAACTGTGTGGCGGCTTGACAGCATAACCTGTAAATACAACAGACGACTGATCACAGTCAAGGTAACTACATGTACTATTACCGTCATAAAGTGTTAATTGTATGCCATTGTTAACATTAACTCAGTAATGCTATCTAAAGTACCCTAGACGACCAACTAAAGCACATTTCACGAGTGGATGCTGTTTGTCTGATGAAAAAAATATCTGTAGACATAGCTTGCTAGTTCAGAAGCCATTGTTGTGTGTTGTGGTCAACTAGTAACGTTAAACGCTACTTTAACGTTAAATGTAGTTGACTTTGCACTCTGTGTCAAGCAGTTGACCAATGGACTGTTTCTATGTGTTTCTAAGTAATTTAAATATCAATGCTGAAACGGTAGTGCTGAGCTCTGTAGCGAACTCCATTTTGAAAAGTTGCATGTTACTCTCTAACGTTACGATATTCAGTGTGGATAAACTAATGCACAACAACGTTAAGTTACACAACAATGACAGAAAGTGTATGTATCGTATAATTTGATACACGCTTCAGCATTAGCTTGGGGCAGACCTGAGGCCTGTACTACGAAGCCAGTTCAACATATTCAGGATATGTTTGTGCTATCTGGTTACACTAAACTTAACTACGTCAGTGTTACCAACCATAGACTGTGTTCATAAAGTTATTTACTCGGTACTTCTCAGTGGGGCGGAGTTAGCAGCATTTCACCTATCACAAACATGTGAATCTGTCAGCAGAGCGACATGTTACACTATGTTTTGAAAATGTTGGCGCTGCAAAGTGTAGAAAGAAGAGCAGGCAGAACTAGAGAATGCAATTCCTGAAGAAATTGCTAGTGGGAATGCTTTATGCTGAAAAGCTGACGCTAAACTGCTATGCTGAAATGTAATGTGTAAGAAGAAAGTGAAGAATTTAGATTGAAATGATATATACGGTGGCCCGGAAGTGTTGGGCTTTCTGAAATGCTGTTGCGTTTTCTGAAATGCTGCAGCGTTTTCTGAAATGCTGTGGTGTTTTCTGAAATGCTGTGGTGTTTTCTGAAATGCTGTGGTGTTTTCTGATATGCTGTTGTGTTTTCTGAAATGCTGTTGTGTTTTCTGAAATGGTGTAGCGTTTTCTGAAATGCTGTAGCGTTTTCTGAAATGCTGCGGCGTTTTCTGAAATGCTGTTGTGTTTTCTGAAATGCTATTGTGTTTTCTGAAATGCTGTGGTGTTTTGTGAAATGCTGTGGTGTCTTGCACTTCCGGGCCACTGTAGTATATGAACACTGGGGGCTTGAATGTGTGATAAGAGAAGAAAAGAAAGTAAAAAGGCTTGGAAAAGCAGCAGAATATTTGAACTGCAAACTTCTGAACTAACTTGATGGCGAGTGATCTGTCGCCATGGCAACGGCATTTGATGACACCCCATAATATGCTTAAATGTGTGGATGGCTGCATCTTTACCAATCCTGTGAAGCTTTGGGCCATTAGGAGCATTTTCACTGAAGTTATGAGAAAACCGTGTTTCATGGCGAGCCTTGTGTTACCATGGCAACGGTATTTGAAGAAATCTCAAAACTGTCCCGTAGATGTCTTCACGGCTGGACTGTTAGCACACGTGAAGTTTCAGCACTTTTTGATGATTTTCATAGGAGTTATAGCAATATCGTGTTTTACGGCGAGGGATGCGTTGCCATGGCAACAGCTTTTGAGGAAAACTCACTAATGGCACATAGACATGTTGAAGGCTGGACCATTAGCCATCATCTGAAGTCTGGTGCTGTTTTGACAATTTTCATATGAGTTACGACAACATCGTGTTTTATGGCGAGGGATGCGTTTCCATGGAAACGGCATATGATGACAACCCATAATTGACATATAGCCATTGAGATCTCAGATTTGGCGTAGAGCTGTTGAGGCATGGACCGGTGATATACAAGCGAAGATTGGGGGACGATTGGACCGTCTCCATTGGATTTACAGCGACATCGTGTTTTATGGCCATAGTAACACCACATTACCTAACATCAGATTTGATGTAGAGCTGTTCACAGAGTGTCCGCGGGGTCTTAAAAAGTATTAAAAGTTAATAAATCAATTTAAGGAAAATTAAGGCTATTAAAAAGTATTAAACGGCATTTTCCAAGGTATTACATTTTGTAGCTTGTTTTCAATAAGTATATAAATTGTCGTTATGGGGAAATGCAAGTTTGCGTCCAAATGGTTGGAAGATAAGGAGGAAGGACAATCAATACTGTATAGTAAATGTGAGGTAAAGTGTGTCGCCAATGTAACCGGTTAAAACTCCAAGTGGCGATGAGGTCTTAAAAAAGGTCTTAAAAGGTATTACATTTGACTTCAGGATTCCTGCATATACCCTGTGTTCAGGGCCACAGTGTTAACCATCATGTTAAGTTAGGAGTTATGACATCATCGTGTTCCATGACACAGGTGTTTGAGCTAACGACGTTATGAAACACCTGTGCTTGAGCCCAGAGATCAAAGGTTTCCATGGTGATGTGCAGTAATTAGTGAGAGGAGAGCCTTTCCATTGTTCTGAATGAGAGATAAACCTCTTACATGTGAACGTTTTGTTGAATAACTGTAACAGATATCCATGAAATGTCAACGCGTGAAGCATCTCAAGGACCCTGAGCATCTAAAGTGTGCTTTTTGTGTACTTTCGGGTCAATAATGTGGCCTTTTTGGCAGTTTAACTAAAGGTGTGCGGCTGCTGCTGTGAGGAAAGATCAACCTGAATTTACAATGGGCCTTAATGGAAACATGTTGAACGTTTTTGTCACTTCATGCCCTCAAGAGGCAAGATGTTTTCCTACGTTTCTCATGAAAAATGATGTCTCAGGAGCGTAGGGTTTGGGAATTATGGCAGGTTTAAAAAAAAAAATACGTTGAAAAATAAAGAAAACAAATTAAACAAAATGCCTCCTGAGGGCATGAAGTGACAAAAACGTTCAACATGTCTCCATTAAGGCCCATTGTAAATCAAGTCTGATCTGTCCTCAGAGCAGCAGCCGCACACCTTTAGTAGATCTGCCAAAAATGCCACATTATAGACCCGAAAGTACACAAAAAGCCGATTCCGACGCTCCTCACGGTCCTGACATCCTCCACGCGTTGACATTTTAGGAAAGCAGCTACCGTTTTTAAACTATAGTTAGAAATGTAAGAGGTTTATCTCTCATTCAGAACAAAAGGCTCTCCTTTCACAGCACATCTCCATGGAAACCTTTGATCTCTGGGCTTACACACACAGGTGTTTGTAAACATTCATTCACTACTACTTACATTTCATATCTAACTCCTTCAGCCTACAGAAACCATTCAACTATTACATTATTCAGCTATTTCAGGACATTGAGGCTATACATGTTGTTTATACCTTTTTTAAACCTTTTCTTTAAATATTAAGCTTCTTCACTATTTTTCCTACTCTTCCAGTTTAACATTTCCCTTTCAAGTTTTCAACAAAGTCATTGCAATGCATTTGAGCTGTAACAATTTTGGTTCAATTCATTTAACTTTTCTGCATTTCTCCACTAAGTTCAACACTTTGTTTCTGTAGCTAAAAGCAGCTACAGAGACCATTCAACTAACAAAATATTCAGCTTTCTCTGCATTTTCAGCTAAATTCAGCAACAAATGTTCACAGTTTACAGCATTCGCACGCATTTTCAGCAGGAAATGCATTTTCTAGTTATTCTTACTGATCCCTATCCTGTAGCCCTCATTGGACAGCAGTGTTTACTTTCCTAAACATGGCTAGTCGCATAGCATCATCCATGTGGACTCTAGTTTGTTCATGCTTTTTAGTTTTTTCTGATATGTGCTTTAAGTCCCTCACATCTGTCTGGATCCATGCTGGGTCTGGTGGACTGGTCTGATCCTGTTGTTTGAAAAGGGAAGCAGGGGAAGCTAATATAGCACTGGTGTTGCTACAGGTAGTTAGCCTTCTTGCTAAACCAGGTCCTTTGAAAGAGCACATATACTGCCTTCCTCTGTCCTTAACTCCTGCCTATGTCAGGCTGATCAGGTCAGAGCTCTTTTACTCTCAGCTTTCCCTCCAGTGTCCTCCTCTCAAAGGGTGTTTCTTTAAGTGATTAAACATCATTTTCCTTCTCCATATTCGCTATCTAGTTTTGTTTACACTCCGTCTTCGTCTAACTCTCTCATTCAAACGCCAATCACTAGGGTTGGGAACCGAAACTCGGTTCCAGATGAGAACCGATAAGAAAATGCCGGGTACCCATACAAAATACACAATTTCAGTTCTGCTTAACGGTTCCTAAACGCGGTAGACCCTGTATTCCAGCGGGTCCGTCTGCGCCGCGGTGACCCGGTGGAATACAGGGCAGACCTGGAGAATCACAGAACGGCCGGTCGTCAGCGGGCCGTTGACGGCCGGCTCGGTACGCTGACGGCCGGCACCGCCCTTAATAACGGCATCATGTAAGTTGCGCTGACAGGCGACAGAGGTCCACAGTTGCCCCGCAGCGAGCCTCCCCCCGCCCTCCCGTAGACAGTTCACGAGCTCAGTCACTTCATAACACCAAAGATGGATCGCGGTAAACGCTCTAAAGTGAGGCTCCACTACACTAAAACAGAAAAAGACAAGGCACAGTGTAATGCCTGTTAATAGCTTGCCACAGGCATAGCTCAGTTCAAATAAAGCACAGCTATTGTGCAATACATTTGTATTGCATGTATATATATATTTTTTTTAAATGTCAGTTAAAGTTTAAAAGAATAAGATATTTTTGTTATCTAAACGTTTGACCTCTTTCTTTTACAATTTTGGAATCGAAACGGGGAATCGATAAGAACCGGAATCGATAAGCAGAATCGGAATCGGAATCGATACATTTCAAACGATACCCATCCCTACCAATCACTCACTCTGGCGCTCCTGCTGCCCCCTAGTTGTTGGGGGTGTCAACAGCTGCTTTGGGCACAGTTTTGTGCGCCCCGAGCTGCTCCTATCTGTTGCATTGAAGAGGTGCGGACTGCGCATGCACCACTTATAACGAGAGTCAATGGGTAAAGATTTCTGCGCCCCAAGCAGGAAACACGTGACTTATCAGTAACTTTAGACATTGTAAAACTATTTTTATCGATATTTTATTGTAGATTATACATTTAACTTACACCAACTATAAAATATGTACCTTGTTCATTAAAAAAAAATGTATAAAATTAATCAAATTAAAATATTTTTTAATGACAATCTAGAATGTGGGAAGAGGTGGGGCGGCGCCCCTATGGGCCGGCCGCCACTGGCTTGAGATTATTCCATGTGTGTCACGCTTCTTTTAAACATCACTGTTTCCGGATAAACATCCATACAGAATTCTCTGTTATAATTTTGCTCATAGCTCCTTCAGTGTGCCTCGTCGATCCTCGATACTCACGGTGCATTTTAGGATTTAGGATTTCCTTCAATGTGGCAAATGATTTGATTTCTGGGTCATAAGCCAGAGGATCATGGAGACTATGGCGCTTTTCCACTGCAGCATGGTTTAAGCGGGCCGGGCCAAACCAGGCCTGCTTTTTTTTGCTTTTCCACTAGGGGTAGTTCCGGCTCAGGGCTACTTTTTCCCCTTTTTTCTGGCCCTCCAAAATCTAGGTTCTTACCGGGCCAACAACCGGGCTGAATATGCTAAACTAGTGACGTAAACACTCTCGACTGCTGAATGGTGAGAGAGAATCGCTGGCAAGGGGGCTACAACAAAATGAACATATTTTACCGTGATTTAAAGGTAGGGTAGGTAAGTTTGAGAAACCGGCTCGAGATCGCTAGAATTTGAAAATACACAACCGGAGAAAATCTGCCACTTCCTTATAGAGCCCCTCCTCCAACACACACCAACGCGCACATGACCAATGTGGGCACGAGATAAGTTTGTGCACAGATGGAAGGCTGACAGGCAGGTAGGCCATCCAGTTATTTTAGCCGGGCCGGCTAAAATGATTGGTCGTGCTTTTTACTGTATTACGGCTTCCACAGATGACATTTTTTTATGGATTTTTTGTCAAAGCACTTAAAGTGGACCTATCATGCTATATTTGAATAATATAGTGTAGGACCATACCTATATAAGGCATATTTATACTTTTTTTTTCTCAAAATACCAAACAGATCATGCATTTTAGCCATGCCTCATTTTGCTCAATTTGACCATTTCTAGCTCTGGGCAGATTCAGTGAGAACAGCACCATCTACTGGCCTGGCATATGTACTACAGCGTCTCCAGCGCTTTCGAACGGCAATGGCCGTGGCTGTCTCCTCCTGATTGGTGGAGTTGGCCCAATAGCCGTAACGCCACCGTCCTGACGTCAGGACAGTGTTCAAATCTGGATCAGTTTTTATCAGATCCGTTGCAGCCCCTTTTTTAGAGATTTGGGTATGGAGGAAAATAGAGAGGGTTGTGTTTTCTGACACTTGGTGAGTTCCCTGGAACACCGGGGACACATATTCATGTATAAAAGACGTACACAAGTGCATTTTGCATGATAGGTCCCCTTTAAGATATTCATTGCTATCGGGATGTTAAGAGCATTCCATGGAATATAACAAAAAGTGTATCTCGAGCCGGTTTCTCAAACTTACCTACCCTACCTTTAACTGTAATGCACGTTTCAAAATGATACCGAAGTAATAACATACTGATACCGGTCTGCAGACAAGACTGCAGACAAAAAACCTTTTCAAATGCGTGTTTTTCTGAATGGAGATCGGATCGATCAGGCTAAGCTAACGTTGTATATGCTCCGTCCACACTCACAACAACGTCATACAGACATAAATAAACCAGCGACTGTATTCACCATGACACAGACAGTCTGTGGTTTGTACTTGTTTAACCTTTGTCTAGTTTCTGAAGAGATATGAGGAGCTGTGAGCTCTGAGTGCTAACGGCGGATGTTTTGGTTTTGTGGTTCGCATTGAAGATGACGTCACGGCAGTTTTACGCAGTCGCTCCGCCCGCCGAACAGCCGATCGCCCCGCCTACACTGCGTTACTATAGTAACTACACCAGTTACTAAACTGTAATGGAAACGCAGCTTAAAGTGAGCCTGGCCTACCAAGGCCAAACTAAGCTGTGCTAAGCCGTGCTAGGTCCTGCAGTGGAAAAGCGCCATAAGAAACACAAAATAAGAATGGAGAAAAGCCTATTATCTTGCGGTTATTTTGTCTACCTGCCTAGTGAAAAGATATGCAAATTAGCGTAACATTTAACTATTACTTTTATTTTAGCACAAATCTGGTTTGTATTAGCAAAAATACAAACCAGATATTGCTGATCTGTCAAATAATGTGTCATTTACAAACTGTAATACTTGGAACGACTCTAGCACGGTTGCAGAGAAGAATACAAAGCTAACAAAATGTTAGTTGTTTTGGGGAGATGTTGTGTGGGGAGATATGTTGTTACGGCCATTACCAACATGAATAAAAACAAGTCTTTAAAGAAATATAAAGACAGCCAGACAGCATTGAACTCCTGGCAAACAACTTGAATGTGCATGCTTGATTTGAAGGTTTTCTATTCCTTCCAGATGGCAACAGAAGAGGAGACCCAGCGCCTGAGGAGCCAGCTGAGGGAGCGGGAGGAGCAGGTCCACCAGGCTGCTCAGGCCGGGCTGGACCTGCTCAAGCAGCAGATGGAGCTGCAGAGCCGACTGGACGAGCAGAGGGTGGAGATGACCAACGCTCTGGAGGTGTGACTCCGCACCATCAAGGGTCAACTTAGCCAGAGCATCAAAAATCCAATATTTTCTCCAGTGGTTCCGCTGTACTGCAGTACACTCCTCACTGTTTACATCGAATCATAATGACCATTAAAGGGCATGCTTGATTTTATTTAAGAAATACATTTCTGCATGTCTTTATTAAAGGAGCAGTGTGTAATTGCAGGTCACCTGCTCAAAAAGAGGGGTAGCATTACACCTCTTGTTCCGATGTCAGTACAATCTCAATTTATAATCATCAGATATGAAAAAAAAGCCAACGAATAAGTAGCAATGTCAAGATGTTGGTGGATTCCAAAATTCTGAAAACCAGAATCAAAATGCTTTATTTCTCCAGGGGGAAATAGGTTTTGTGACCGTTCATCCATTCTAGAACAAAATATTTGTATTAACATAAGAATATATATAGGAAAAGTGTGCAATTTTTAAATAAACAAGTTTATATAATAATAATAATAATAATAGTAATAGGTAAAAATGTGGACATTGTACTACAATAATATGTATGTCACTAAGTGATGAAATAAAACATCATGGTTTAACTTTTTTTTAAAGTAATTATAATACCATTTGTGCTTGAGAATAACTTCATCTAGGGGTTGCTAGAAAATGCATTTGGGAGGAACACAGATCCTCTGGGCATTCCCTTAAAACATGACATTGTAGATAAAACGATGCATGTTGCAGGAGAGCTAATAACGTTAGCAGTTACATGTTAGCCGTTAGCAGCCTGTGGGCTAACAGCAAGTGTGCAGCACAAATGACAGAGTGGCCCTGTGGATTATTCTGAATTGTTTCCAACTCAAACTCCTGTCTTTGTGTGATGCGTGTCTGAAAGGTGCTGGAGCAAGAGAAGTACTCCCTTCAGAAGGAAGTGGTGCTGAAGACTCGGATATTTGAGTCCCTGCAGTCAGACTTCGAGTGTTTGAAGAGTCAGCAGAGCAGGCAGCTGGAGGAGCAGCAGGAACATCTGGAGAGGAGCCGCACATCAGCCCTCACTGAGCTCAACAACAAGGTACAGCTCAGCACTTAGCATGTCAGCAGGACACACACACACAATCAGACATGCTCAATGATGCTCAAAACATTGGTGAGACTTTTACAAGAATATCCGTTCCTTTTTATGCTTTACTATAATAACAACAAAAGCTTTGATTGTCAAGTAAACATCTTCCTGCATGTTCCTAAGCACTGATGTAAAGGTTTTGGTTGGCATTACCCAGTTGCTGGCGCTGCAGTCGGCTCTGGAGGAATCCCAGCTGAGTAAGAAGCAGCTGGAGCACAAACTGGAGGTGCAGACGGAGACTCTGAACAACAAGATGGAGGAGCTGCGAGCTCTGAATGAGAACACGCAGAGCTCCATGACCTCTGAGATGATGGAGGTGCAGCTGAAGATCATGGAGCTGGAGACCTTAAAGGTGAGCAGTATGGGCTCAGAACAGTCTCATAATACACACATGCACACAGAAGGATTCACACTTGTATTTCATGCACACAAAAGGATTCACACTTGTATTTCCGGATCCACACTTGTGTTTTTCAATGCACACACAAATGTGTTCCGTTTCATATACATGTAAATAAAATCCAAATACAGAAAAAAGTTTTACATATGTATTTTTGATCCTCACATATTTGTTTTCCTTTTAAAACCTCTGCACCTGCAAACACAACCCGCTTTCTGTGCATGGATCGCTGTGCATTCGTGTGTGGGTTTTTTGAGACTCCCCTGACGGTCACCCGATTCGTACTTGTAATTTTTTCTATCTATAGCCAATCAGATGTCTCCTCAATTCTAAGCCAATCACATGAGCGCGCCCCCACGAGGGTAGATTTATTGCGTTCATGACGTAGCGCTTCATGTACGCATTTTGCGCTGTCATGGAGCCTGCCTGCAGGCGCTAATCTCAGGACACCTCCACTCTCAGTACATTGCCACTTTCCGAGCAGGAAATGCATGCAAATACAAGCCTTTATATTATTAAGGTACAGTGCCACTTTCCGAACCATTAATGAATGCTGGCAGGCAAAACCGTTTTAAATGTGTGTTTCCTGTATGGCGAATACAGCTGCTTTATTTATGTCTGTATGAAGTTGTGAGTGTGGAGGGTAGAGATGGGCGAGTCCTGATTCATCCGGATCATTAACCCGGATCCTAGAAATGAGCTGGTCATGACGAGTCTCCCCTCTCCATTAACCCGAGTCCTTGAGTCCCACACTTGGTGTGACGTACAAATTAAAACTATAAATTGCGTCACTCGCTACTCTCTTTATAACATGTAAAATCACATTACAACGTACCCCAGTCCATCTACCTACCCTTTAGCAAGTAGGATAGCTGCCAGAAGTGATCGTTTGGCTCAGGGGACGCGGATCAGTGAAACTTCCTGCAGACTCGTGGGGACTCAGAGGAGCCGACGGCTCCTAACCGTAATAGCATAGCAGATCCAGAGATCCATACTCGTCATGTGCACGAGCATAGCCCCTCCTCCAGCACCCGGCTCCCGCGGCTATATTATGCACGAGTCAACAGCAGACTCAGAGATTCGCAGATTCGCAAATCCTGACTCGCTGTGCAAAACACAGCAGACTCGTGCGGACTCAGAGCCGTAACCGTATAGCAGCAGATCCAGAGATCCAGCAGACTCGTCATCATGCACGAGTCAACAGCAGACTCAGATTCGCTAAATCGCAAAATGACCTCTTTTTCAAGGTTCAAGGTTCTTTATTGTCAATCTGACATAGCTACAGAGTAATTATGCAGTTGAAAATCTTATGTCACAGGCTTCTCCAACAATGCAACATAATAACATAACATAATAACAATAAGAGCAAGAGCAATACAAAAATAATAATAGTTATAAAAATGAAATAAAGTTATGATGTGGAATAGTGCAGTATGAGTCTATATACAAGTTATTGGAATGATATATATATATTAGGTATTAGATACATACTACTGAGTAGCAGTTGAATGTTTGATGTTGTTTCAACAGTTCCATTTTTTAACAGTCTCACTGCCCGCGGGAAGAAACTGTCTCCGAATCTTCTTGTCCTTGCCAGGATGCTGCGGTAACGTCTGCCAGACGGCAACAGAAAGAACAGTTTGTGGCTGGGGTGATGGGGGTCTTTGATAATCCGTAGTGATTTCTTCCTGAGCCGCTGGGAGTAAAGGTCCTCCATGGATGGCAGCTCCGTCCTGGTGATGTGCTGTGCAGTTTTCACCACCCTCTGTAAAGCCTTACGATCGAGGTCGGTGCAGCTGCCGTACCAGGCCGTCATGCTGCCAGTGAGGATACTCTCTATCGTGCACCTGTAGAAGTTGCAGAGTATCCTGGAATCCAGTTTGAACCTCCTCAACCTGCGGAGGAAGAAGAGCCGCTGTCGAGCTTTCTTGGTGATGGTGGTGGTGTGAAGAGACCATGTCAGGTCCTCAGTGATGTGGACCCCAAGGAACCTGAAGCTTTTGACTCTCTCCACCGTAGTCCCATTGATGGCGATGGGGGCGTGTCCCTCTCCCTGCTGCTTCCTGTAGTCCACAATCAGCTCCTTTGTTTTGCTGATGTTGAGATGGAGGTTGTTCTCCTGGCACCAAGATGTCAGGTTTTCGACCTCCTCTCTGTACGCCGTCTCGTCATCGTCTGTGATCTGGCCGATGACGGTCGTGTCATCAGCAAACTTCACGATGGTGTTGGAGCTGTGTGTGGCCACGCAGTCGTGGGTGAACAGGGAGTAGAGGAGAGGGCTGAGCACGCAGCCTTGAGGGGCTCCGGTGTTGAGAATCAGGGTGGAGGATGTGATGTTTCCCACCCGCACTGCCTGGGGTCTGCCCGTCAGGAAGTTCAGGATCCAGTCACAGAGGGCGCTGTTGAGCCCGAGGTCTCTGAGCTTGATGGCCAGCTTGGAGGGCACAATGGTGTTGAATGCTGAACTGTAGTCAATGAACAGCATTCTCACATATGTGTTCCTGTTCTTCGGGTCCAGGTGTGAGAGGGCAGTGTGGAGGGTGAGGGCTATGGCGTCGTCTGTGGACCTGTTTGCTCTGTAGGCAAACTGCAGGGGGTCCAGAGATTCAGGGAGGGAGGAGGTGATGAATAATTTGACTAACCGCTCAAAGCACTTCATTATGATGGAGGTGAGTGCTACTGGGCGGTAGTCGTTGGGGCAGGTGATGATTGTCTTTTTGGGGACAGGAATGATGGTGGAGTGTTTAAGACATGTGGGGACTACAGACTGCAGCAGGGACCTGTTGAAGATGTCTGTGAACACCTCTGCCAGCTGAACTGCACACACCCTGAGAACACGGCCAGGGATGCCATCAGGTCCAGGAGCCTTGTGTGGGTTAACCCTTTTAAAGGATTTACACACATCTGCCCTATTTAAAACAAAAGGGCAGTGTAGCTCCTGGTCCCTCTGTACCTCCACAGCCTGGCTGCTCTCAAAGCGTGCAAAAAAACTGTTTAGCTCATCTGGGAGAGATGCGCACGCAGACACTCCCGCAGCACCCCCCGCTGCTCCTTTGTAGTCAGTCATTGTCCTTAGTCCCGCCCACATATTCCTAGTGTTACAGCCTTTGAAGTCAGATTCCACCTTGTCTTTGTACTGTCTCTTTGCATTTTTTATTGCTCTCCGGAGATCATACCTAGACTTCCTGTACTCCTCCAAATCTCCCGCTGTGTGCGCGAGAGTGCGCGCTTTCAGTTTGCCGCGCACCTCACCGTTTACCCAGGGCTTTTGATTTGGGAATGTCCGTACAGAAACCTTCGGTACCACGTCATCGATGCATTTCCCAATGTAGCAGATGACAGTGTCCGTGTGTGTGTTGATGTTGTTGTCCTCAAACACACTCCAATCCGTAGATGCAAAGCAATCCTGCAGTGCTGAATCTGACTCCTCGCTCCATCGTTGTACTGTCCTTGTTATCGGTCTGTCCCTTTTAAGTTTCTGCTTGTAAGCAGGCAACAACAGTAGTGAGATATGGTCTGATTTGCCGAAGGGAGGGCGAGGGAGAGCCTTATATCTTGTGATCAATATGTTTTATTAAAGCAAAAGACACCACTTTACACACATTTAACACATACAAACACCAGCATTGCAATGATTACGCAGTCCATGAGAAAATATGGGGGGCATATGATTAGATATAATTATATGTTTAATAATAATAATTGCAACTGTTTTGCAATTTTCTATCATTTGTCATTGTTTGTTTCTTTTTGTGTGCTATGTTCAAAATAAACGTTTTGCCAAGTAAGATCCTTATTGGAAATGCAGCTATTACACGCAGGAGACTGTTGCACAACATGACCATTTTGTTAGAAGTCTACACTGAAATTCATTTAGAGCCGGAAACATAATGGACTTAATCAAAATCGCGGGATCCGTGAATCCAGGTCAATGATCGAGAGAGACCAGTAGCCTACGAGTTAGTCAGCGGAACTTCACAGACTCAGATTCGCAAATCCTGACTCACTGTGCAAAACACAGCAGACTTGTGCGGACTCAGAGCCGTAACCATATAGCAGCAGATCCAGAGATCCAGCAGACTCGTCCTCATGCACGAGTCAACAGCAGACTCAGATTCGCAAATCCTGACTCACTGTTCTGCAACACACAGCAGAGCAGACTCGTGCGGACTCGGAGCCGTATATAGCAGCAGATCCAGAGATCCAGCAGACTCGTCCTCATGCACGAGTCAACAGCAGACTCAGATTTGCCAAATCGCAAAATAACCCTTTTTTTTGTGATCAACATTTTTTATTAAAGCAAAAGACACTGTGTAGCGGAGGTTAATATAACGTTAGTTTAATATGCTCGTGAAATGCAACACGTTTTCGGTTTCACCGATAGGATTTCTACGGTCTTGGTGATGCTGACTCATATGACTCAAATGACTCGTATGATCCGGATCTCTTCAATGACTGACTCAGAAGACCCTGAGTCCGTAAAAGGATCCGGATTTGCCATCTCTAGTGGAGGGAGCAGCTACAGGTTAGCTTAGCCTAATCGATCAGTGCACTACGAAGCCAGTGCTAGACAGTGAACTGTCAACGGGGGGGAGCCCCGCCGGTCATTATCGGCCGATATTCACTCTTAATAGTTTGATCGGTGCTCTCTATAAAGGCCGATCAGGAGTGCTGGATCTGATCGATATGGACATAAACGCGAGTGAAGTTTTAGCGAGCTGCATGAGAAACTGACGAGCTGTCAGGAGAGAGGAAAAGAGATGATCCTTACTCCCGTGTTATTAGCCATATCCGGTCATAGACCGGTAATTACCTGCTATCGGAAACTCTGCTACACAATTCTTATTATTATTATTATTATTGAAACATGACCGGTAAGTTTCAAATTTGTCCGGTAAAATAAATTCTGTCCGCGGAAACCCTGCTCCGGACAGCGCAAAATGCGTACATGAAGCGCTTCGTCATGAACGCAATAAATCTACCCTCGTGGGGGCGCGCTCATGTGATTGGCTTAGAATTGAGGAGACATCTGATTGGCTATAGATAGAAAAAATTACAAGTACGAATCGGGTGACCGTCAGGGGAGTCTCAAAAAACCCACACACGAATGCACAGCGATCCATGCACAGAAAGCGGTTTGTGTTTGCAGGTGCAGAGGTTTTAAAAGGAAAACAAATATGTGAGGATCAAAAATACATGTAAAACTTTTTTCTGTATTTGGATTTTATTTACATGTATATGAAAACGGAACACATTTGTGTGTGAATTGACAAACACAAGTGTGGATCCGGAAATACAAGTGTGAATCCTTTTGTGTGCATGTGTGTATTATGAGACTGATCTAAGCCCATAGAGCAGAGCTCCCAGTATCTATGGTGGAGTCAGTCTGTGTCTACTCTTTATTCACAGAGAAGGTTTATACTTTTCTGCTAGTGGAGCGTCGCAGCGGCGAAACCGTGCCGCGCCACAATTCCGGCTCAGTTGAGGCCCCCTCTGTAAGGTGAGGCCCCACGCAGTCTGCGTGATCGGCCTGTAGGGAGGGACGGCCCTGAGTGAGCGCCGTAACGCCGTTGGGGATAAACGGTGACGTCATGACGCAGCAGCGGCAGCACCAGTCGGGCTCTGGGCGGTGTGAACAAAACGGGGGCTGAAAAGAAAAACCGGTTCCGAACCAGAAAAGCTCTAGCACGGAGCTAGAACGGGAACTGCGTTGGTGTGAAAGACAGTATTTTAGTGAGTTTATTCTTGCAAGAAGGTAAAACGTTACAGAGTCAAGCAGTCTGCAGCGAAGTACAAAAGTCAGGAGGTCTGCAGAGGGTCTTATATTCACATTTTCACACCAAGAATAGAAGAGACGAACAGAAAAGATAAACGTACTATATATAGGATTCTTTTAAACTGGAGAAACATCATGTCGACACTCCACAAAAGGACAAGACCATTAACCTTACAACAATAAATAGCTCTAACACCATTTACGACTCATTTAGGACATTTGCTGCTACCTGTTGTGAGAAATAGCTTGTAAAAGAAGAACATGTGGTGAACTTTAAATGCTCCCTCAGCATGATACCATTTTCCATTGCAGTTATCAGTTGTATTAACCAGTCTGGTGGATGTTTCTGTCTCAGGTGGAGCTGGAGCAGACGCTGCAGGAGGGTCGGTACAGGGAGCAGCAGCTGGAGCTGACCAACAGCAGCCTGCAGCGCCACCTGCAGCGCAGCACGGAGGAGAAGGAGGAGCGCGAGAGGGAGGCCGTGTCCTGCTTCAATGCGTTAGAGGTGAACCTCCACTCCGCCCACTGTGTGTGCATTAATACGCTGTTCATAAAACAGGCCGTAACAGTCTGCTTGATTATGAATCAGGTCTAAAGAGGTGCAGTGTGAAGGGGCCAGGCATTATAGAAGCTTCTCTCAGCAGCATACATGTGTTACTAAGACCTTTTACCTATGGCTGGGTGATATGAGGTATATAAGATAAGATATTTGGATTTTGTGTTGATATTGTAGGGTTGACTATTGGTGTAATTTATTGACACAATTTTGATAAATAATGATCAGAAATGTGGATAAAATGAATTGGTGATTAAAGAATTAAAATGACATCACATTACTGTAATGCAGCCTATTAAACTGTGAAGGACAACAGTTATTTCAGATCATAATACTAGATCTAGACTTGTTTAGAATATATTGATATAATATGGATATTTTGCCCAGTCCTAGCTATATTCTGACTTTAGTAGAGGATAATAAGTTGCATTGTTACTTGAAATGAATACGCCCGCAGCACCATATCTACTGTCAGCGCATGTAAACACTTCTCATGATGTTTTTGTCTCTGTCTCTTCAGAAAGCTCGTGAGGCCAACAGAGACCTGCAGGTTGAGCTGGACCTGGTTCTGCAGCAGGCCCAGGACCCCAGCAGCAGAGGGAACTCTCTGTTCGCTGAGGTCAGAAACAGAGAAAGGCTCTTTCATCAAGGAGAACACTCAATAGTTTAAAGCATACTCATTTTCCAGTCTCAAAAGGTCCAAATTAAGGACAATTATCTGTAATGCAAGCATATCTTTGATCTGACTAGTGTTTCATAAACCTTTAATGAAGGCCGGTAAAACTTAAAGGGGACCTATCATGCAAAATGTGTGTGTGTGTGTGTGTGTGTGTGTGTGTGTGTGTGTGTGTGTGTGTGTGTGTGTGTGTGTGTGTGTGTGTGTGGTGTGTGTGTGTGTGCTGTGTGTGTGTGTGTGTGTGTGTGGTGTGTGTGTGTGTGTGTGTGTGTGTGTGTGTGTGTGTGTGTGTGTGTGTGTGTGTGTGTGTGTGTGTGTGCTGTGTGTGTGTGTGTGTGTGTGTGTGGTGTGTGTGTGTGTGTGTGTGTGTATGTGTGTGTGTGTGTGTGTGTGTGTGTGTGGTGTGTGTGTGTGTGTGTGTGTGTGTTGCAGCTGGAGGATAAGCGTGGAGCGATGGAGAAGCAGCTCATCGGCATGAAGGTCCAGTACTTGTCGCTGCAGAAGCAGCACGCCTTCAGCAAGCAGCAGCTGCAGCGCATGAAGGTATGTGCTGTACACGTGCACTACACGTGCACTGTTGATGCGTGCTAACTGTTATCCCTGCTGCAGGTGCAGATAGCCACTCTGATGCAGCTGCAGGGGTCCCGGGCGGACCCCGCTCAGCTGGAGAGGCTGCAGTCCATGCTCTCTGAGAAGAACGGAGAGATCCAGAACCTCATGATGAAGCTGCAGAGGCTGGAGAAGGTGGAGGTGAGTGCTTCGTCTACACTTCTTATTACTCTTAATTTCAAGCTACTCTACACCAGTTTGATGTTCATCCATCTTATATACACGGTTCCAACAGGTCCTTGGAATCCTTGATGTTTTTTAATTTAAAGGGACAAATACGATTATTAACTTTTACCAATGTTTAAACTATTGGGTGATAGTATCTTCAAATAGAGGGAAATTGGACTGAAACCTACTGAAAAGTAATGTTTGAAAAGGTGGAGGAACCCTGCATCCACAGGAAATCCACCACTGTGTGAGGCGGAGCATGTGAGGGAAGCACCAGCTGATTGTTCTAAAATCATTGCCTGCCGCTCCATCCATGAGTGCTGCGCTGTGTTCTTCTTCATGTGTTGATTGTGTGTAACTTAGCCAGCAGTGTCAGATAAAGACAAAGCTACACTAATTATATTAGTGTTATACTATCACAAGAATGATATTCCAACACCGGGAGTCCCCTACCTGAGTGTGGTGCCTTTATGACAGCGTGAAGCAGGTACAATTATAGCAACCTGAACAAAGAATGTGCAATTGTCTATATGATATCGCTGTTGTATCGGGAAATGAGACTAGATATCTGAGATTTAGGATATTGTAATATTTTAAGTGTTGTCTTTGCCTGCTTTTAGAGACTGCATTACAGTAAAGTCATGCCATTTTCTGAATTTACCAGACTGTTCTCGCTGTTCTAGTTTTGTCTTTTAACCACTTAGTCCATAAGTCGTCATTCCAATGATTATTTATCAACATTTTTCATTGTGTTAATATTTGTGAAAGCATTAATGGTGAACCATATAATATTGTCACAATATGGATATTGTGGAGTATCATAACAAATATTTCGATACAGGATTCTCTTAATATCAACGAGTCCTAACTTGAATACATTTAGAAGTGATGCGATTTGTAGTGAAGTGGTGACACAGAGAAAATCAAACATGAAGATATTGCCTCTCATCCAAAACATCAGTGACACCAAACAGAGGGTGGATTCACCTGGAGGGCAGCGATGATAAGCACAACACTACATGTAGAAAAGTTTGTTGAATCATGCATTTGATTTGTCTCTTTGTCTAAAGAAAATGTTTGTGTGTTCAGATGTTGCTGAAGTCTCAGCCAGCCAATCCTGTTCCAGCAGAAGGTGGAGAGGGCCAGGATGAGACCTACTACACCGACCTGCTGAAGATGAAGCTCAGCAACACTGTGTGAGTCACGCTGAGGAACTGTCTGCTTCTGCTGCAGTGCAGGAAATATGTACTGCTTCAAGACGCCTGACGTCTGAAACATGAGTATTTCTCATTGTGCTTGATGGGTTATAAAACTGTGTGTGTTGTGTGTGTGTGTGTGTCAGTAAGGATGCAGAGCGTCTGGGGGACGAGCTCTCGCTGCAGAGGATGAAATCTCTGTCAGAGAGTCAGAGAGCTTTGGAGCTGGAGAGGAAGCTCTACTCATCTGAACGGCTGCTCAAACAGGTAACAGCTCTGTGGAGCACCACCACCCAATGCATTCTGGGTAAAGAACAGGCCCAGGGAGTAAAGTGCAGAGAGAGCGTTGTAGTGTAGGGAACTGTGAAACATGTTTATCTGTGTGTTCTAACTGCCTGATATATAAAGTAGAAACACAATGATCCATGGTGTTATGGTGCGTTCACACAGGAAGTGAAAGATGCCAATAGATGCACATAAACATAGGTGACGAGAGTAAAGAAAATGCCTCAGCGCGAATGAAGCAAGAGACAATGCGTGTGACGCTGTCTTGCAACAGCCAATCAGCGTTGAGATTCCCCTCCTTCAGTCACTGACGTGCTGACGTTGAATCAGAAAACATCAGACAACCCAGAGCTCTACATCACCTGATATTTGTACAGAGACCGGATGAAAATCGATGTTTATAAATGAATGTGTACCATAGACTGTCTGGCATGAGAGAAAAAGTGGCTGGTTTAATATTTTACGCATGGAAGGAGCAGCTATAACAATAGTTTAGCCCAGGCATGGGCAAACTAAGGCCCGCGGGCCATATACGGCCCGTTGGGCTTTTTAATCCGGCCCGCCGAATATTGGTACAACATTGTCCAAATGATAGTAAAGACCGCATTCATTTAGCCTTTTTCCTGCAATACCCGGCATTTCAGTTGATCCCACTAGATGGCGCACTCTAGACACAAATTACCTTTGCTGGAGTCGGCAACCCACCAAATACGTCACGCTTACATTGGAGGGGGTCAAGATTAACCTGAGCAATAACAGTTCACGGTTAGTAGTACAGCGAATACAAATTGTAACAAGCAGTAGCGCTGAGAAAAGGGACTAGAACGCGACCACACACTTATAAAAAACACTTACATAAAGTCAGGCAACACTAACCAGCTTAGTGTGATTCTGTTTATTTTGTGTAGAAAACGGCTTATGCCACAATATGATAGCAACAAGTAGTCGAGATAGTCTGATTAGCTTCGGTTGCTATGCTAACATCACCTGTAGAATGCCAGAGAAACGTTCCTAACAGCGTTGTGATGCCAAACAGCGTCAATTCAGACTGAAACACATTCACTGATGGGGATGGGGGATATGTATCAGCTGCTTGTGTGACAGTCAGACAGTGAATACTTTACAGCGGCCGCTGCCGTGAGTTAACAGTAGAATAAACGAGCAGCACTGCAGCGGGCGATAATCCCGCTGAACCACGTTAATAAACAATGCACCACGGCACTCTGGAGAAAGGTATAAGGTTGGAGAAGTAGTTCTTTAATTTAATCTGGCTTCGTATGATTAAAAACGACCCGACGCAGTCCTCTATTGATGTTGTTGTGAGCGGTGTTGCGGAGAAAATCAGCGACGTAAAACTCTGTGTGGGTCATAAGAAGGCACGTAAATGGTTACGTCATGACTAGAGATGTCCCGATCCGATCACGTGATCGGGGATCGGAGCCGATCACGTGATTTTCAAAAGATCGGAATCGGGAGACAAAAATCGGGGATCGGGAATTTTTTTTTTTTCTTTTTTTTTCCTCATAAAATATTTTTATTTTATTTAATGTTACAAAACAAAAATGACCATGTTCACGTCTTAAAGTCATCCTGAGGCCTTAGTTTTGGTTTAAAATGACACAACATCATGTATGTGTTGCTTCTTTTGGGCTTGTTTTCATAGACCTGGTTGCTTATTTCTCTCAAATCTGGCAACAGAGTGGGCGCAGTGTCTAATAGTAGCAGTAAGCTAACAAGAGGCTACGTTCAGCTGGTGACTCGGGAGTCGGGACAGAGAAAATGTCAGGAGTTTGGAAGTATTATAAAATTGAAAGCAAAGGCAGTGTAACAGCCAGATGCAATGTTTGCAAGGCGGAGGTTCCGCGTGGTGGAAAGAACAGAGCTACGTTCAACATGACCAATCTAATACGCCACCTGAGAAACAAACACCAACAACAACACGAGGAGTACACAGCGGCCACTCAGGTAACGGCACTGAAACAACCGACACTTTCAGAGACTTTTAAAAGGAAAGAGAAACTGCCCCAGAACAGTGAAAAGGCCAAAAAAATAACAGCCAATGAATTCATCGCGTTGGATGACCAGCCGTTATCTGTTACCTTTTTTTTCTCTTAATGCATTGCATAAAGATCGGATCGGGAAAAATCGGTATCGGCAGATTGTCAAAATCAAATGATCGGAATCGGATCGGGAGCAAAAAAAGGTGATCGGGACATCCCTAGTCATGACGATGACGCAATAACTCACCTTTGAACCTAATTTACCTTTGAACCTGCATCTGGAACAATGAGTGGACCAAAGAAAAGAAAAGTCGACAATGAGTGACGAGTGTTTAATGAGGAGTGGACAGCTAAATATTTTTTCACCGATCTGCTACTGGCCCGGCCCGTCTGTTAAATTTTAAAACTCATAGTGGCCCCCGAGCCAAAAAGTGTACCCACCCCTGGTTTAGCCTAAACCTGATTGATCGGATCTCTTATCAGAAAACAAACAGTTTGCTTGCCGTCATGCGGACAGACCTGACAATGGAATAATTAATGCTATGTACTATGTATCACTATGCACCATTCTAAATCATTTTGATAAGTTTACCGCAAGAACATCTGCCACTTGAAACAGTGATGAAACGTTGTTGGTATCGAGGTGGCCATGGCGATAAGCCCCGCCTCCTCTCTGGTGTATCTAGTTTGAGTGATGCAATAATCACAAATGTTGCGAGGCGTAATTTCGGTTTGCGTCCTTTGTGAATGTTATAGTGTCAGAGATACAACCTAACACTGGGTCACTGCTCTCTGCCACAGACTCAGAGTGCCAAGATCAAACTGCAGCTCAGAGTGGAGGAGCTGCAACACAAGTATGAACCCAAAGGTAAGAGGGGGCTCAGTGTGAGGCAGGCTGCCTGTAACGGGGGGTTACGTATTGTAACCCTAGTTATATAAGCACAGGCGGAGCCCTCTACTGGACTCTATGGGTACTACCTCTCATCCATACTATGCGAGCATTCACCTACTGAGATATCTATAAACGTAGCCGGCCCCTCGGGGCGGGCCTACCTGAATGCGTGCGCAAGCCCACCGTATATAAGGCGGCCACGCCTCCTGACTGTCATCCTACACCCTCTTCAGCAAACGGCATAGGACAGTGCACCGCAACCTCTTCTCCTCCGGCTGTGACCGTGGAGAAGTCGGGGCCGCAGTTTACTTGGCTGGTAGAGCACACTCAGACACGCTTACCTCGTGAAGAGTGTGCATGGAAAATAGTGAGGGAGAGTCCTCCAGCCCTGCATGGGGACGTTTTACTTTCCCTGCTTCAGTTGTTGCTCGCTCGCTGAAGAGAAAAGGATGACAGTCAGGAGGTGTGGCCGCCTTATAAACGGTGGGCTTGTGCACGCGTTCAGGTAGGCCTGCCCCGAGGGGCCGGCTACGCTTATAGATATCTCAGTAGGTGAATGCTCGCATAGTATGGTTAAGAGGTAGTACCCATAGAGTCCAGTAGAGGGGTGTGTGTGTGTGTGTGTGTGTGTGTGTGTGTGTGTGTGTGTGTGTGTTGTGTGTGTGTGTGTGTGTGTGTGTGTGTGTGTGTGTGTGTGTGTGTGTGTGTGTGTGTGTGTGTGTGTGTGTGTGTGTGTGTGTGTGTGTGTGTGTGTGTGTGTGTGTGTGTGTGTGTGTGTGTGTGTGTGTGTGTGTGTGTGTGTGTGTGTGTGTGTGTGTGTGTGTGTGTGTGTGTGTGTGTGTGTGTGTGTGTGTGTGTGTGTGTGTGTGTGTGTGTGTGTGTGTGTGTGTGTGTGTGTGTGTGTGTGTGTGTGTGTGTGTGTGTGTGTGTGTGTGTGTGTGTGTGTGGCCGCCTCTGCTCATCTGTTTTCTGTCTGAAGCAAAAACGAATCAGATCCAGAAGAGGAAGAAAGAGAAGCTTCCTTTCGACATCACGCCCCCCTCTGAGGAAACCATGCTGCAGAAGGGGGAGCAGGTTGTTGCCATGTCGATAGACGTCACAAATGTAAAAAATTCAGACGCTGAAGTCGCTGAGACAGAGAGCTCCACAAAGACTGAGCACACTGGAGGTTAGTAGGGCTGATTATTGAAATTGTGCACAGTTATTTTACATAAGAAATACACACATCAGCAAAATGGAGGTAAAGTAATAAGGACACGCTTTGTTTGTTCAGAGCCACGACCTGCCAAGCGTGTGAAGATCAGTGACGATAAGCCTACTGAGATTCCAAACCCCAGGTCAGTATGTGTGCACTACGAGAACAAATACATGCAACCTGTACAGGAAGTTAGTCAGTCCAACAGCACGCTCTGTTGCTGAGTCGTGATATTGTTTTATTGCATGTTTGCAGTGGTGTAATATAGTGAAGTACATTTACTCAAGTGTTGTACTTATTTGGGGTACTTGTACTGTACTCAAGTATTTTTATGTTATGCTACTTTATACTTTTGCTCCACTACAATTTGGAAGCTAATATTGTACTTTTGACTCTACTATATTTATTTGACAGCTTTAGTTACTAGATAGTAACTACGCTTATCAGTTTATTGGCCAAAACAACATCTAAATGAATAAATAAACTACGATATATAATTATAGGTTAAGATACCCTGCAGCCGTATATACATTCATTAAAAGTAGCTCCACCTTTACCAGCTGTGATGAACACATTAATGCATCAAAAAAAGAATCCACTAATTTAATATAGGATTCTGAAATGGGACATTACGCACACGTACTTCTACTTTTGGTACTTTAGGTATATTTTGCTGCCAATACTTTTGTACTTTTCCTGAAGTAAGATTTGAAATGCAGGACTTTTACTTGTAACAGAGTATGTGTACACTATTAAATGTCTACTTTGACTTATATCTGAGTTCTTCCACCTGTGGATGTCTGTGGTTCTGCCCTCAGCTCTCCTGGCAGCGACTGTAAGGAGGTGCAGAGAGAGGGTAACCAGCAGCAGAACAAGAGAGAGGAGAGGAGAAAGATACCAAGGGCAGTGGAGGTGATCCACGTGGGCTCCACCAGCAGCATGGAGACCCAGTGTGCTCAGCAGTAGCACTCGTACAGATATCGGTTATATCTATATTTCTATTTTTATTCTCTGGACTACAATGTATTTTTCTATATACTATAAATGTATTCAAATGTTACCGTATTAAAAAATGTTTGCAACATACAGAATTCTGTGATCAGTTTTAGAAGAAAAAAAAAACGTTTTAGCGTCAATTCTCTGTTAATGTTGCAACAATAAATTCTATGATGTGTAACTTGCCCTGCTTGAAATTTCAAAACGATAATTTTTTCATAATGGTGGCTGTAATGTGAAACATATCTGTGTCTGGCTGGCCTAATTAGTTTTGTTGCCAGCATAGTGAACCCGGAACTGTGGAGTACCCCAAAGTCCTATGTAAGGAATGTATAGTAGGGTCCCCAGCACATAGAAACTGCCGGATGCTAACCTGCATATGTTGGACAATTTGCACAATTTGCATTAAGTTGTGTTAATTAAAATGAGTGGACAATGGTTAAAACAATTTTGGTGGTTTTGGGGGTTATTGAGGATGCTGAGTCCGTTTCTGACATATGCAGGTTAGCATCCAGCAGTTTCTATGTGCTGCAGACCCTTACTATACATTTCTAACATAAAACTTTGGTGTACTCAACATTTCCATGTTCACAATGCTGGACACTAGACGTTGAGGTCATGTTGAACTGGATGATTTACTGTGTCCCTCCTGAGAGCAGAAAGCTTACAATGTGTTGGTGTACAGAGCTTTTAATACAAACAAGGTGAGCTTGAAATATTAGCTCTGATAAAGGTAGAACAAAGTCAACAGTTCATGTTGTGCTGTACATGTACATGCATTTAAACATAAATGCTGTATTAAATCTTATTCTGGCATAGTAATTAGTACATTACTAAATTGTATGGTATTGGTAGCATGGGTATTGGAACACACTTTACTTTTTCCTCTAGCATAATGATTCGAGTGGTACTAAACAGAACGGTTCTTTAAAAATGGAACACAATAAATCTTCTCTAGCATACTAAGCAATAAAGTACAGCGGTATAGATATCGGAACGCAGTTCAAATTAAATGTATCATTTTATTTCTGCAGTATACTTGGAACACATAGTATATCTTTCTCTGGCATACTAACCTATAAGGTACTTAATAGTATGGGAATGCATAATAAGTGTTTCCCTGGTATTCTAAATAGTACGGTAGGTATTGGAACGCTATGCTTGTTGTCACTATCAGTTAAATGTCTGTAGAGCCATATGGAATAATAACCGCTCCCTAACAGCAGGTGGCAGTAGTGGTCAGTGAAGCTTTACAGCGGCTGTATGGTTTTTAAAGTAGAAGAAGAAGACCGTCGTGGACCAATCCGTTCCTATTATACATCCATGGGACCAATTGCAAAGCGCCAGTACATCACAAAGAAGAAGAAGAAGAACGTGGACCAATGAGAGCTAATCAGTGTGAGGATGCGGGAAGCACAGTGTTCGGCAGGTCTCTAGATGAATCTTTACGTCCATGAGATGAAGTGACAGCGCGTTTCTGACTTCTTTCTGCGTCTCTTCTGTTTCAGTCAAACAGGTGAGCTGTTGTTAAAGTTACTGCTGCTGTTTTCTCTTCTAATAATGCGGTAGTTCTCTAAAATGCTACAGGGTTTGCTCTCCTCTCAGCTGTCAGACATGTCAACAAAGTGTCACTATCTGTATGGCCCGGACTGGCCATCGGGAGGACCGGGAGGTTTCCCTATGGTCTGGCCTGTTAAGTGGCCTGCTGGCCTGAGGATTTTTTTTTGTTTATGTATGTATTGTGAACGCAACGCTGCGCAAATGTGGGTCTGACTCTGCCTCACAGAGGGTGACTGGCTGTCTACATGATGTGGCCTGCCGACATGGCCACTTTCATACAGATCATACACTAAAGCCCTCGATTGGTCTCTGTGTGTCATTCAAGCTCGGGAGGGTGTGTGTATGTGTGGCGCAAGCGAGCGAGAGAGAGAGAGCGCGCGCACCGGTTACGTGTATTGTTGTTGTTAGCATCTGGTACTAGCTAGCTGCGCTAGCGGATATAAGAAGCTGTTTCAACAACAAGGTGGAGGGAGAGTCCTCTGCTGTCAGACTGAGAGGCTGATAACTACAGCTCAGGTGAGGTAAAGGACTCTGAGTGTTTAGATAGTTCACTTAGTCTAAGTTATCTCTGTGGGTCTCAAACGGTTTGGTCACCATTTATGTAAACACATATTTCCATTTGAGGGGGGAGTGATTAGTAAAATATGCATGAATAATAATAAAAAAAATGTTAACTTTTTAAACTTGTTGAGAGCTAAAACTAGTCTTTGCTGCTGCCTCAAAGAGGAGAAGAGGGGGGAGACAGGTGAGGCTGGTTCAGGAGCACAGACACACTCACAACTATAAATGAACCAAAAACAACTAAATAAACAAGTTTCAATGTTTTTTCATATTGGATATGGTATGTTATTGGTTATGGCCATGTTGTTATGATTTTATGATTATTTAAATGTATACAGTGCAGTTTCCTATGCGTGTTTCCATAGATCTAGTCTCTTTATTTTCCCCTCAAAATGCACCAGATTGATGCATTTAACTCCAAAATGTAAAATATCTTACCGGCATGCCCCCGGACCCCCCTAAAGGATTTGAGGTCCATCTCCACTTAAAATATGTTCACATGGATAGATTCCTAAATAGATTTTCACATTTTTTTAAATAGTAACCCCTGTCCATATGTTTATTATTGGTTAGTAGATTTAAACTATAGGGCTATCACTATGGGCAGCAACGCTGTAAATATTCACAAATAAATCCAGCAAAATGGCACAAAGAAAAACTGGTTGTGGCCTGGCTGGGTGTATAATTCCCGGCCTGACTTATTGTCCCAGTCCGGCCCTGTCTGTATCTGTATCTATCTGACATGTTACTGCATGTGCTGGTCGCACACAGAGGCGGGGGCGCGCACAGGATGATAATACACACATAAGAGCATCCTATCTTTATGTTCTAATAAATGTAGGCCATGCTGAGGCCAGATATTTAATGAGGGGCACATTTAATTTTGGACAAAGGAGAAAAAGATAGTGTTCAAGATTCCAAAATGTTGGTTCAGTTTAAAGTCATAGCAAGCAAAACAACATGAAATGCTATGATTGATGTTTGTGTTTTGGTGACAGAATTTCTGTCAATGAAAAAAACATTCACTCAGCACTATCACAAATTGTATTATCATAACATGTCTGTTTGGAGGGGGCCACTGGAGGGGGAGGGGGGTCAAGCTCAGTGTTCAGGTGTCCCCCCCAGTGTTTGTAATGTTACAAATACAGTTAAAGAATATATATATATATATTAAATGTGTTTTGACTAGAGGGAGGTAGGGTTGAATAATGTCATACTTTTTAAATACTATTATTGTACTTTATTAACGTATTAAGTGTGCACCTAGGGAGAACTTGTTTTTGTTAGCATCCTTCCCAAGGACACTTTATCAGGCAGATTGTAGGAAATGCAGATTAAAAAGTTCTCTGCTTGTAAAAGTACTTTTAATTACTTCTAATGATGTACATTTTAATAAAGAAAACTAACCAAAATGATACTTTAAAACAAATTCTTGCCACTAAAAGTATTTTCAAATTACCTCTAACAGCACTCTATGGATACAATTTACAATACACTTACAATCAAATGCTATTTCTATGTTCACTTATTATCTGTATTTATTTATTTGTACCTTTTTTTAATTAGACCTTTTTAAAAGTACATTTGAAATATACTTTAAATCAGGAACAGCAATTAGGTATACTTGTGGTAACATTTGAATCGTTGAATGATAGTTCTTCACACATCCAGGTGCTGTGTTCAGTCATGCAGCTGATCCCCAGCCGCTCTGCAGCTCCTCTCAGCTCTCTGGCTCTCTTCCTGCTGCTCTGCTGTCACATGACCAGCACTCTCAGCCAGAAGGTGACTTATACTGGATTATACACGTTTTTCTCTTGATGTGTTATGTTGGAATTACACTTTTTACTGATGTAAAATTAGTGATATTATCAGTCAGGAACTGGGTCTTCCCAGATCTCCGAGGTTAATTGACTAATATTGAATATTTGATGAAAGCTGTGAATCTTACCAGCTTTCAGCAACAGTACATACTGTTAGGGTACACACATGTTGGTGTATGCAGCTCAAGGGCCAGTAAGATGTCAAACAAGGTGATGGAAGCTAGGTCTCTGATCCAAGACAGTCCAAGGACAAGTAGTACAGTTGCAAGCTAGCTTGAGGATGACTATAGTGTCATTTAAAGCAAACTGTTTGTTTTTTCATCATATCTTTAAAAAAAGTTGTTGGCCAGTACACCAGAGAATACATGATCTAGTTTTGTGTGTTTGCAGTCTGACTCTGCCCTAGCTGTGGTGGAGAATACTGAAGGAGAAGGAGAAGTGGAGGTGACGGATGTAGGAGATGAAGGAGACTTCGAGGTGGTCCAGCCTACAGAGGAGTGGCAAACACTCAAACCAGGTAAAATACTGAAGGACTGTAGAGGTACTTTGTTTGATCTAACACAGGGGTTCCCAACCCCCGGTCCGCGGACCGGTCCCTGTTCCGAGGGATTCGGCGGCTCAGCCTAAGGTCTCAGCCTCTTGTGCGCACGAGAATGTTACCGGTGCGCTAAGTAGGAAGAGGAGCGCACAGGAGACAACCGTTTGATTGCAGACTGTTATGTTTATGTGGGGAAATGGTGGTGCATACATTATTTGAGATAGATTTCAAACTCGGACTTCATTTTAAGGACATGTCGGCCAGGAGTGTAGAGCTATTTGTTTAAGCACCGGATTGGCAAAACAGGAGAGTAAACCAGTCTGCCTTGATCTATGAATTAATGTCCGGGACTCTCACGGTATCTGCTGCCCGCAGCTGTTTTATAGAAGGAAACCCTCCTTCACTTCATGACATGGCTGCAGCATCAGGAGGCAGCGGGACGTATACTCGGTAAAGAGCTGTGCCTTTTTACGCACCGCCTTCGCTGTGTTTAACTTAATCAGAACAGCTTAAGAGTGACTGCAGGCTGCTACGTGTTAACCACACACACATCTACACACATCGAACTGCCCGATTACTCCCCCATTTATTAGTTTTATGAAGGAGATGTCCAGTCAGTCACCAAGGCGCATGATGTGTGTGTGTATGTGCTCTGCTCTGCTCAGCTCTGTGTGTTCGGTGTGTTTCTGTCTGTCCGACACCGGCATATATGCGGCTGTTCCCAAAATAAATTAGTTTAATCTTAATCTCGATGTAGTGCTAAATGCTGTCGGGAGTGCACCGGAACGAACGACACTATCATAATATCTTCTGAAAACAAATGCCAGTGACACACACACACACACACACACACACACACACACACACACACACACACACACACACACACACACACACACACACACACACACACACACACACACACACACACACACACACACACACACACACACACACACACACACACACACACACACACACACACACACACACACACACCCTGGCGACCGGACATCTCCTTCATAATACGCCTTCTCCTCGTTTTCCCAGCATTCACTGGATTATCCGTAAATCATACAAACAAAAACAAAACGTTGATTTAACCCTTGTGCCCTCCTCGGGCATTTTTGTACATTTTTCCTGACTTTTTTTTTTTTGATTTGGTGTTCATTTCAGCTGTGTTACAGCTTTTGGCATGGATTTTTGCAAGAAGTCTTCTTTTGAGTCAAATTTTTGAAATCCAATGTCGTTTACTCTTACATGTTTTGTATACTCTCGTACACGCTCATAAAAACTGCTAGTAAATCATCATACATCAATATTTTATTAAACTTTTTTTTCCATGAATCACTTGAACAACTTCTAACGTGCTCAAAACTACCAAACATTCAATAGTTTTCAGGATTTTAAACCTTTAAATGCCTGTTTCATTATTTGAATTATTTAATTTCTGATTTAATTTTTGAGAGAAATGAAATAATGAAAATTATGAAACAGGCATTTAAAGGGTTGAAATCGAAACCGAAAATGGTAGTTTTGAGTACGTTATAAGTTGTTTATGTGATTCATGAAAAAGAAGTAGAAAAAGATATTGATATATGATGATTTAATAGAAGTTATTATGGGCGTGTACATTTTTGCCACGAAGGTGTCCAGAGGTAGTATCTGACACTACGTACAAAATAATAATGCAGTGAAATCAATTTTGTTGCTAATCTTTGACACATCCAAGACTCTAGTAACCACCAAAGTTCCATCCCTCTACTAATTATTATATTGAAAAATAATTATGTTTTGTGTTTTTTCGTAAGAAAAAATGAAATAATTCAAATAATTAAACAGGAATTTAAAGGGTTAAAATCCTGCCAATGATTGAATGTTTGGTAGTTTTGAATACATTAGAAGTTGTATATGTGATTCATGAAAAAAAAAGTAGAAAAAGATATTGATGTATGATGATGTGTGTGCACGCGTGTGCAGGTCAGGCGGTGCCCGCAGGCTCTCATGTGCAGCTGAACCTGCAGACGGGTCAGAGGGAGGTACGGCTGGGAGAGGAGCAGCTCAAATACCTGGACCAGGAGCACAGGTAGGTCCAGAGTCTCTACCTGCAGGACTTCCTGTCCAGCTGATCTGAAGTCTGCTGCTGTGAGAGAGTGACTGTGAATGTGTTGTATCTGAGCAGAGAGACAGAAGAGACCTCCATCAGTCCGGAGGAGCTCCAACGGGTCATGAAGAAGATAAAGGAGGACATGAAGCCGGAGAGCGCAGAGCACCAGGTAACCGCACAGTGCATGTTGGATATTTAATTACTCTAGCGACACACTGTGCACTGAGTGGAAAAGCTGCCATACATGTGTTATGGCCTCTATAGAATGGTATATTTGTTCTACTATAATGTATTAATGTTCTTATTTGTGTGTGTGTGTGTGTGTGTGTGTGTGTGTGTGTGTGTCAGGACTCGGTGGCGTCCCGGTTCCGTCCCATGGAGGAGTTAAAGAGAGAGATGGCTGAGCTGGACCTGCTGGTGCAGACGGATGATCAGGTACATCACACATTAGAGAAATTCAGGACAAACTGAGAGGTTCTTTTTTTTTTATGAGAGCTATCTGGGAAAATGTCCTTGGGTAAAATAAAATCTGTTATCCGTTTGTATAAATAGAATTTCTAGCTGTAAACTGTTGTGTTGTAAACTGTCACAGGCGCTTTTCTAAAAAAGTGTTATTATTTCCGAGTATTCTTCCAGTTTTCTTCCAGTGCTCGGAGCGGCCTCACAAAATAGCTGTGCGACCGCTCCAAATCAAGACGCTGGGCGCAGTGTGCATGTGACGGCATGGGCTCTCTTCTCAATGGAAACAGTTCAAAAGAGAGGCTGTTGCTTAGAATAGGGCACGTAGTGAACACAGACCATAAGGTCTAATCAAAGCATTATTAGTGCTTTAGTTGAACCATTACTGAAGTGGAGACAGAGCTTCCAGCAAGCAGAGAGCTCAAGTTTGACATAAAGACACCTCCTGCTTAAAGTGGCCATGCTCTAAATGTAATCAAAATGTTGAAGCCTGGTTATAACCAGCTGTCCTTCAGTATGCAGTTGAGCTGAATGACTGTTGTTGTGCAGATAATGAGGCGTCTGCTGGAGCAGTTTAACAGCAGCAGCAGCACCACGGAGCAGAGGCTGAGCATCCTGCTGGAGCTGGAGTACTTGGTGCATCAGGTCACACACACACACACACTCACACACATTAACACTTACACACACGGACTCATGTATTCTGAGATTGACCTTTGTTCCTCTGCTCGTTAGGTGGACAACGCTCAGAACCTGTGCTCCATGGGGGGGCTGCAGCTGGTGGTGGAGACCCTGAACAGCTCTGACTTCAGACTGCAGGAGAGCTCCGCTTTCGTCCTGGGATCAGCTGTGTCCAGGTACCGCCGCCCCGCTCTGACCTGACGGTGTCTTTACCCAGACAATAAGAAACACAACTGGAGGGCAAACGCCTTGTTTAAGAAGTTGATGTTGTAAAACTGGAAATATAAGGAAGCACCTGGGAAATGAAATATTATTTGAACATTGAAACAACAATGTCAGTAGAGAGTAATAAAGGAAAACAATTCCACTAAATATGGAACACAATTGACAAAGCTCTGTAGATGGATATTTTTCAATGAGTGGGGATGCATTTTGCATCAACCTTGTTATTCTTTAGTTCATGTATTTATCATTTGTTTTCATATATATTTGTTCATTTTTTTTTAATGTATTTTTTTTTTTGGAGGAAGTGACATTTTGTGTGGTGTTGAATTTGTGAATGTAGTGTATTCAAACCCCCACTCATTCAGTACAAATCTAATTAAACAAAAGATATTCAAATGTGAAGTTAACACTGCCTACAACTCTCCTCGTCTCTGACTACAAGTCCCATCTCTACCTCATAACAAGCAGCTGCTTCAGGTTTACACACAGTGTGCTGTCTATGGACTGTATTAAGCTATGTTATTTCAGTGGAAATGCTCTGGTACTATTATTTAATACTTGCCTGATATTTCTTCATCTATTTTGATTTCATTTGCATAAATAATTAATAAAAATACAGCATATTTTGTTAGCGAAACTGCTTTTACTCTACATGTCCCCCTTTTAAGAAAAATTCAAATGACCCTTTAGTGAGTTGGTTTCATTACCCTCTCCCAAAGGTTGCCTCTTGTAAGCTATGCTCACACTCAGAGAGGATTTAATGGTGGTGACTGACGGATGTTTTGTCCTGCAGTAACCCGGAGGTCCAGGTGAAGGCCATGGAGGGGGGGGCTCTGCAGACGCTGCTCACCATGCTGGCCACAGATCAGCCGCTGTGGGTCAAGAAGAAGGTGCTCACACACAGCTGCACTTCAGTGAGGTGTTGTGAAGGAGAGCTGTAATATTTCATTTGGGATATTCTTCTTTCCAGGTTCTCTTTGCAGTGGCCTCCCTCTTACGCAACTTCCCCTTCGCCCAGCGCCACTTCCTGTCCCGGGGAGGGCTGCAGGTGCTGTCGGAGCTGTTCAGGGGGGACCGAGGGGGGGTCCTGCGCACTCGTATCGTCACCATGCTCTACGACATGATCAGTGAGAAGGTACCTGTCGTCGCAATATCAAAACTGCTTTCTTCAGACATGAGGAGTTAGGAAACCAATGCACAGAAACACACTCTTTGTATTTGTGGCCCCCAGTTACACACAGCGTCTAAAAGGGTTACATCACTTACAGGTTACAAAACAGTTCTCAGATGATCGGTAGAAACTCCTGCATTCAAAGCCATACTTGAGTAAAAACGCTAAGGTTTCGCTTTAAAATATACTTAAGTATCAAAAGTACACATACTTGTTTAGTGCAATAGCTAATTTCAGAATCATATATGTTCAATTACTGCATTATGATTATTGACGCATTCATGTATTCATCCCAGCTGGTAAATGTGGAGCTAATTGAATCAGATGTGTATACAGCAGCTGGATGTATTTACCTAGAATGATTGGTCAATGTTTATTTATTGGTGTATTTACATTTCGTATTAGCTAACAATCTGATTAAGACTATATTCGTCCCACAGAGGGAACATTTACAGTGTCACAGCAAAGGGGACGATGCAGATAAACGGCAGTTAGACATTTGAAAACTGACTAAAGCTGTCAGATAAATGTAGGCAAGTAAAAAGTGCAATATGTGCTTCAATAATGTAGTGCAGTAGTAGTATAAAGTAGTCAAAATGATACAGTACTTGAGTTACTGCACTTTAATACATCCCACTGCTGCATCTAGGACAGGGGCTTGTTCTTAACCATTAACCCCGATACTCACACTCAGTTGTAATACCATTAAAGGTGGCTTTTCCAACCTGACCTAGCACTGTTCCTCTAATGTCACAGAAACACCTAAATGACCATGTATCTGCTGTTCACTCATAGGCACATTTAGTATGCTATTGCTTAGGAGTCATTGCAGGTAAAACCCCAACATCCCCTTCACACACGCATACCATTTTGTGAGTCATATTGTTGTTTTTACTGTATGTTGTTCCTACGTTTGCCATCACTATTGAATTCATATGATTTTGGGAATCTTCTCTAAAACATTGTGAATTGTATTATTATTGAGGTAGAGGCTTCCAATAAGTGTGGGTTTTCTGCCTCATCCTTCCCAGCTTATTATTTGTTAACAGTTATATTTCTGTATCTTTTCAATTGTATTGAAATAATTCAAATAATAATAATAATACAAGTACATTGAAATGAATAAATGATTGCCATCACACACACAGACAGTGTTCTGGTGGCAGTGAATCAGTGTGTGACGCTGCTCTCCTCCCGCTCCAGGAGCTGATCTCCCAGGCCGGTCTGGACCCGGGGCTGCACGCCTCCCACCAGGAGCTTCTGCGGCAGTACTCTCTGGTGTCTCTGAGGGAGGGGCTGCTGGAGGAGGGGTGGTGCAGTCTGATCCCAGAGCTGCTGGACTCCACCGAGCACGACTTCAGAGAGAAGGTGCAGTGCTGAGAAAATGTCATGATTAACAGAGAGGCTGGAAGGCTTCAGTGTTTGTTTCAGTCAAATAAATAGTGTGTGTGTGTGTCGTCCCCCCCCCCCAGGCTCTGCGGGCCATGCTGGCTCTGGCTCCGGTGTGTGTGGATCAGTACCGCTCTCACAGCTCCCTGAAGGCCTCGCTGCTCCTGCTCAGAGAACAGTACCAGGACATGATCCAGTCCCAGATGATCCTAGGAGAGGAGAACGAATACTTTGAAGAGATGATGGACCTTATAAACGCTCTACACGTCAAACTCCGATGAGCAGAGGAGCGCTCAGTGGCCTCAGCTCTACAAACAGATAGGAGTGCACAGACTTCTGAAGTAACCATGAACAGAAGGACAAACTCCCGAGACTTCATCTACTGAGTTCAAAACCAGGATGGACCTGTGGCATCAGATTGTGGGTTTGGGATCAGAATAACCTTTTCTCTTTTTGGTGTTGTCATTGTAAAATGTTTGACTCTGTTTTCAGAGTTTAAGAATAAATTATTATTTAAAAATGATGGTGTTATGTTTATGGATCTCCTGCCTGGAATGCCACCTACAAAACAAACCAGAAATGATTGAGAAGAAGATAAAGCTTTAATCCATGAAGCCATGTGATTCAGGAATGTGTGTGTGCTGGGGACGCTGGGGACATGTCCCCTCCACTTTTGGAAGTGGCCAATTTTGTCCCCACCACTTTGCATTGGGATCATTTGTTTAAATGTTCTGTAAATAGCGTGCACACTTTGGCGACACGTTTTATATTAGTAATAAGCAATAGTTGCTCCTGCTTTTCAGCAGCGTAGCATAGTTACTGCACTAGTTGTCAAAAAGTAGTGTAAGCATATTAGTAGAGGAACTAAGGCCCCTAAAAGTTGAGATACCCCTGCCAAAAATAGTGAAAATGTAGGCTCCTCTGAAGGGGGCCGTGTTGGCCTTATCCAATGCATCTCTGGAAATAATGATCAGAATGTCACCAAATGTGGACTAGATTTTTCGCAGAGCATACAATAAAGCAAGGATAATATCAATATATTTGACCATCTTTGTAATATTAACACCTTAAACACACATGAATCATAGGCAGAAATGGAGTAGGAAATTCAAAATGTATGTGTTAATATACTTTTTGCAGATGTTTATCTGTTACTGTTATTAGACAGTCAGTAGGCTACTCATTTTACACTTCACTTCAGGACAAGTGACAAGAAGAATCAAAACAGGGGAAAGACACAACACAGTGAAATACTTCTTCATGGTTTTCTGCGTGATGTGTTGAACACATCAAACCATGAAGAAGTATCACTGCACCCGCCTGAGGAATGTTTTGATTATGGGAGACCTATGAGACAAATGGAGGAGTCTCCACCGCCCTTCACCCCCCCTATCAACACCATTGAGGATACTCTTCCTTCATCCCCCAGCGCTCTCTTCTCTCCGCTCACCCTTTCATCCTCGCCCCCCCCCCCCGGAGTTCAATGACCACATGAAGGAGATGCATTACATTACATGTCATTTGTTAGACGCTTTTATCCAAAGCGACTTACACACATTCAGTACTGTGAACAATCCCCACAGGAGCAATTTGGGGTGAAGTGTCTTGCCCAGGGACACAACGACATGCTGACTGCAGTGGGACTCGAACTTGCTATCCCCTGATTAGAAGTCCAGCACACTATCCACTGAGCCACAGATACACAGGGCTGCCACCAATTCCTTCCTGGAGTTCACTGAAAACATGAAGGCGATACACAGGGTTGGCAGCATGTCCTTTACCCCCGCCCCTCAACGACGCCCACCACAGTCACCGAAGCAGAGACGCGCACCATCTCCCCCGTCTTCATCACCATGCCTACCACAATCATCCAAACCAAAACATCCACCACCTCCCCCCCCCCTTCAAGACAGCATCTGCTGTCTCCGAAGCCTGATAAGGATGTGTGTGTACCATATACAGTCTATGGTGTGTACACAACGCAGCAAACTTGACTTTGACCGTTTAGTCATTGTTGGTGATTTTAACATCCATGTTGACAACCCCCAGGACAGAGGGGCTAAAGAACTGTTTTGTGTTCTTGATAACTATGAACTGACTCAGCATGTGACGGAGCCCACGCACAATAAGGTATCAGGTACAGCAAATGTTTTGTCCCTGTGTCCACCTAAAATCAATTCAAACACCATGACACAATTCCATCAGATTAATGATAAAAACCTAGAGGACATTATACAACTTCTGAAATCCTCCTCCTGCTGCCTTGATATTATTCCAACAGGATTTTTCCAACATGTTTTTCATTGCATGGCCTCAGATCTACTTCATATAGTAAACAAGTCTCTTCACTCAGGTGTTTTTCCACAGGCCCTGAAAACTGCAGTCATTAAACCGCTCTTAAAAAAGAATAATCTAGATGCTTCAGTAATGAACAATTACAGGCCAATATCAAACCTGCCATTTCTAGGTAAAATCATAGAAAAAGTTGTTTTTCAACAGTTGAGTAACTTCTTGCATTTAAATAACTGTTTGGATGTGTTCCAATCAGGCTTTCGACCAAACCACAGCACTGAGACTGCTCTTGTAAAGGTCTTCAATGACATCCACTTAAACACAGACAGTGGCAGAACTTCAGTGTTAGTATTATTAGATCTCAGTGCTGCGTTTGACACTGTTGACCACAACATATTACTAGACCAACTGGAAAACTGGGTGGGACTTTCGGCAACAGTTCTAAATTGGTTTGAATCCTACTTAAAGGACAGAAAAAACGTTGTTTCTATAGGTAAATACACATCTGAGTTGACAAATATGACATGTGGGGTTCCTCAAGGCTCCATCTTGGGGCCTCTTCTCTTTAACATCTACATGCTACCACTGGCTCAGATAATGAAAAACTACAAAATAAGTTACCATAGCGGATGATACACACATTTACATAACCATTTCACCAGGAGACTATGCTCCAATTCAAACACTGAGTAAGTGCATTGAACAAATCAATGACTGGATGTGTCAGAACTTTCTCCAATTAAACAAATTGATAAAACTGAGGTAATGGTTTTTGGAGCCAAGGCAGAACGAATAAAAGTTAGCGCTGAGCTTCAGTCTGCAATGTTCAAAACAACAGATAGAGCCAGTAATCTAGGTGTAGTCATGGACTCTGACCTGAGTTTCAACAGTCACATTAAAACAGTTACTAAATCAGCCTACTATCACCTAAAGAACATATCTAGGATTAAAAGACTAATGTCACAGCAGGATTTGGAAAAACTTGTCCATGCTTTTATCTTCAGTAGACTCGACTACTGTAATGGTGTCTTTACAGGTCTCACTAAAATATCTATTAGAAAGCTGCAGCTAATTCAGAACGCTGCTGCTCGAGTCCTCACTAACACTAAGAAAGTGGATCAGTCCAGTTCTGAAGTCTTTACACTGGTTCCTCACTAACACTAAGAAAGTGGATCAGTCCAGTTCTGAAGTCTTTACACTGGCTCCTCACTAACACTAAGAAAGTGGATCAGTCCAGTTCTGAAGTCTTTACACTGGTTCCTCACTAACACTAAGAAAGTGGATCAGTTCAGTTCTGAAGTCTTTACACTGGTTCCTCACTAACACTAAGAAAGTGGATCAGTCCAGTTCTGAAGTCTTTACACTGGCTCCTCACTAACACTAAGAAAGTGGATCAGTCCAGTTCTGAAGTCTTTACACTGGTTCCTCACTAACACTAAGAAAGTGGATCAGTCCAGTTCCGAAGTCTTTACACTGGTTCCTCACTAACACTAAGAAAGTGGATCAGTCCAGTTCTGAAGTCTTTACACTGGCTCCTCACTAACACTAAGAAAGTGGTTCAGTCCAGTTCTGAAGTCTTTACACTGGTTCCTCACTAACACTAAGAAAGTGGATCAGTCCAGTTCTGAAGTCTTTACACTGGTTCCTCACTAACACTAAGAAAGTGGATCAGTCCAGTTCTGAAGTCTTTACACTGGTTCCTCACTAACACTAAGAAAGTGGATCACTCCTGTTCTGAAGTCTTTACACTGGCTCCTCACTAACACTAAGAAAGTGGTTCAGTCCAGTTCTGAAGTCTTTACACTGGTTCCTCACTAACACTAAGAAAGTGGTTCAGTCCAGTTCTGAAGTCTTTACACTGGTTCCTCACTAACACTAAGAAAGTGGATCAGTCCAGTTCTGAAGTCTTTACACTGGTTCCTCACTAACACTAAGAAAGTGGTTCAGTCCAGTTCTGAAGTCTTTACACTGGTTCCTCACTAACGCTAAGAAAGTGGATCAGTCCAGTTCTGAAGTCTTTACACTGGTTCCTCACTAACACTAAGAACGTGGATCAGTCCAGTTCTGAAGTCTTTACACTGGTTCCTCACTAACACTAAGAAAGTGGATCAGTCCAGTTCTGAAGTCTTTACACTGGCTCCTCACTAACACTAAGAAAGTGGATCAGTCCAGTTCTGAAGTCTTTACACTGGTTCCTCACTAACATTAAGAAAGTGGATCAGTCCAGTTCCGAAGTCTTTACACTGGTTCCTCACTAACACTAAGAAAGTGGATCAGTCCAGTTCCGAAGTCTTTACACTGGTTCCTCACTAACACTAAGAAAGTGGATCAGTCCAGTTCTGATGTCTTTACACTGGCTTCCTGTCTTTCAAATATTTTTTTTCAAAATACTGCAGCTGGTTTATAAAGCATTGAATGGTTTAGGCCCAAAATACATTTCTGACCTCCTGCTAAATTATGAACCATCCAGAACTCTCAGGTCTTCAGGGACTGGTCAGCTTTCTGTCCCCAGAGTCAGAACTAAACATGGAGAAGCAGCGTTCAGTTATTATGCTCCAATTATCTGGAACAAACTCCCAGAAACCTGCCGGTCCGCTGCAACTCTGACTACTTTTAAATCCAGGCTGAAGACTTTTCTTTTTGCCGCTGCTTTTAATTGAACTATTCATATCTTAAACGGCACTGTAACTTTTATCCATGTATTTTTTCTTTTAATGTTTATTTTATTATCTTTGCTTTTTAATGACTGATTTTAAATGCCATTTTCTCAATGTCTTTCATTTTTGTAAAGCACTTTGAATTGCCTTGTGTTGAAAGGTGCTATATAATAAATAAACTTGCCTTGCCTTGCCTTGCCTTCATACTATATTAACCACATTTTATTCCGACCTCTTGATCCATGATGATGTGACTACATGTTAATATGGAAAACTGTTTTTATCAGCTTCAGTACCATTTCAGAGTCGAATAACGGTAACAACAACGATTCTATTGATATGTATTGCATTTGATTATTCTGCAAACTGCAGGTAGTGTAATCGTATCGGTGCTTTTATTCTGAAAGTGGAACCGGTAGTGAAGCGGCCAGCGGAAGTAGTATTGTGAAAAAGGAGGAAGACAGAGCTATCACAGGCTGTTCATTTTCTCATATAATAATCTGTTTAATATTTGTAACCTTAAACAAAACCACTTGTCATGAATTGACTTCTGGTCTGTGTGGTCCCCTGGAGATAACGGCTGACACCCTGCTGAGCTCCAGTGAGTTTTGGAAGAGAGCAGCTGTGTTTACATCTGGTAGCAGCTAATGTAGCTCAATGCTACACATTAATAACTAACGCACCCTGGACTTTAACCGTTTGTCCTGGTGCGGAAGGATATTATTTTTTTATATATGGCGTGTGTGTGTATTTATGACAGTCTAGTGTTATACGTTTAATAGGTGATACATATATACATATTGCATTATGTACTATTTATATTGTAGTGTATTATAAAACGGATTGTTTTCAAGCGTCAGCGTTATTGAGTGATGTTAGAGGAATAGGACACCTTCTATTAAACTGTAATAATGTTTAAATATTTTCTTTTCATAAACCATTTCATTCTTCAATATCCAAAGTTCTTGATATTGTACACATCATCTATTCTGTGTGAACCTACCATCACTCCACTCTGTCTGATCCTGGTTTTATATGTTATGAGGATACATGTTCCCCTCTCTCAGACCTGTTGATGTCCAGATGTTTGTCCTGTGTATCTGCTGTCTCTCAGGTAGACTGCTGTCCCTCAGGCGATGGAGTTGTCTCAGAGGGACCGGCTGTCGGAGCTGGTGGAGGAGCTGACCACATCTGGACAGCCTCAGCTCCACCCGGAGCGGATGAAGGAGGTGAAGAGGATCTGCAGGTGGGTCCCTGAGGAGAGAGCTGAGAGCAGCGTTACAGCTGCTCTCTACCAGAAGACAACACTGTTTCTGTTATTATTATTATTCATAAACAGACACAGAAGTGTGAAGCTTTGTTTAATGCTGTTCTGAGTCATCTTTCATTAATACTGAGAAAAATGCCAACAAATAAAAAAGTGGAGAAAAAGCAGGCAACTGCACCAAAACCCTAGAATGGATGAATACTAATGATGATAATAAAAAAATACAAATAATTGTAGTAATTATTCTACTACTACTACTACTACTACTACTAATAATAATAATGATAATAATTATAATTTATGCTCAAAATAATGTAAAAAACATAAACATCACTGCATTGATTTTTTCAAACCCGGATTCCTCCATTGTTGGAGAAATGAGTGCACACATTTTGCTACCAGAGAAACATTTCCTATTGAAAATATGATTTCAAAAAATGAAAATGCACAATGTAAGCCTATGTTTTAAAACAATTGATAAAACAACTCTTTCAATACATAGCTCTTCAAGCATAATATGTATTGTTCACAGTCAAGCTATTGTTTCCTGATGTTTAGTCTCAATGTTAACATTTTTGAACAACCTTTCTGTAGACAGTTTTGAGACATGGTAGGTTAGAATCCACAGGAGAATAAGAACATCAGTTATATAAAAGACTTTATGAATGTTATATGGTAGGGCTGCTCAATTAATCGTATTTTAATCGCAATTATGATTTTGGCTTGCAACGATTATGAAAACAACATCATCGAAATAAAACGATTATTATTATTTTATTTTTTATTTTTATTGGTTTTTCAGTTGAATTATACTTAAAGTTCAGGGTAATCAACTGTTAGAAACATACTGTTCACATTTTGTTTTTCAATAAATGGATGTTTTCAAAGTAAATGGATAATCGTTTTTTAATAATCGTGATATCAATTATTGACCCAAATAATCGAGATTATGATTTTTGCCATAATCGAGCAGCCCTATTATATGGCATTGAATGCAAATGGTTCCTAACTGTGTGTCTCCTCCTGCAGAGCGTCTAATGACTGCATCGAGCACGTGTACAACTCTGTGATGTCTCAGCTGAACCAGGAACACGCTGAGGTGCGACTGTCCGCCTTCCAGATCGCCATGGAGCTCTTCTCCAGGTCTCACCACTTCAGGACGCTGCTGGTGGACAACTTCCAGGTACCAGCTTCATGTACCAGGGCTCACCAACACATAGATACCTTAAAACTATTTATATCTGGATTTCAAAAGCTAAAAAAAACCCGTATTGTGTAACATTGTTACCTTTGTACCTTTGTGGAGCTTTTGCATATGTGAGCTGTGTCTTGTTCCCACCCTCTGTTCTCCATCGTCCTGCAGGAGTTCCTGGAGTTGACAGTGGAGACGGACTCGGAGCAGCCCCTCCCCCCTCCTAAGGAAGTAGCCAGGAAGTTGAGGGCACAGGCCATCCAGGCTGTCCAATCATGGCAGGCCTCCTATGGGACAGCCTATAAGAAGTTAGCATTAGGCTTCCACTTCCTCAAACAGGTGAAGAAGGTGAGTGGGCCCAACTTTCTCTTTGTTGCTGCCAGACACACGCCCAAGATTTAGGGTCAGAAGGTCTAAAAACACGTTACGTAGATAATATCCCTGTATAGTTTTTCTATATATATATATATTGAAAATATTGAGCCATTTACTGCCCACAAAGTAAAAATGACAAGAATAACATCTACACAGACATAGAGTATATCTGCCAACTGGCCGTAATGTGTGATAAATACTCCAACTGTATGGTTGCAAGCGACTACCTGTATCTTTTTCTTAGATGAGCCCAAGATGCACAAAAAAAGAAAAGCCTCTTTTGAAGGCTTATGAAAATAAATGTAACATGTTCATTCAAATGCTCAATGTGTTACTGTGATGTCTTGTTTAACAGTTATTTTACTACTTTATTTTTTATTTTCTTTGTATTATTATTTAAATGTTAAAGGGGATAAATAAAGTTCCATCTTATCTCTTATCTCATCTAAATGAATGATTCAGAATCACTTCATTTCATTCATGAACACTCATGATTAATGTTAGAGTTTACAGGTAGTTTGAACAACATTGAAAATCATGTGATGTGTTTAACATTACAGTAAAGCTTCACCGCTCTGTTACTTCCCCACTCAGCTGACCAATCATCAGTTAGCAAAGGCCTCTGGGTGATGTCCTCTGCTGTGAGTAAAGTGAGGCGTCTGTCTCCTCAGGTGGACTTCCAGGATGCTGAGGCCCGGACCGTATCAGAGAGGAGGAGGGAGGAGGAGAGGCAGAGGAAAATGGAGAGGATCTACAAGGAGAGAGTGGAGGCAGCCTCCACAGACATGGAGGGTAACCCCCCCCCCCCCTGTGATGATGAACACATGTCCTGTAGCACATTCCCTAACGAAGCACAGACTAACAAGATTGTTTCTTCGTCAGAGTCTTATCAGGAGATCGAGGCCACACTCACAGAGATGGAGTCCTGTATGAGCCTGCTCATCCCCGGGTTCCACTTCACAGAGAGCCACACAACCAATAGCAGCCCTCCACTCTCCCAACCAGCCAATGAACCGTCATCAGTGGAGGAAGAGCCCTGCTGCAGCAAAGACCTGCAGGAGGAGCGGACGGAAGGGAAGATACAGGAGAAGGAGGAGAAGAGCAATGACTCAGAGGGAAAGATAGGAGACATGGAGGAAGGGATGACAGAGGAGAGGGGTTTAGAGGGGAGGGGTGTGGATGGGCAGGAGGAGGAGGAGGGAAAGGAAGATGAGGAGGAGGAGGAGGAGGAGGAGGAAGAGGAGGAGGAGGAAGAGGAAGAGGAAGAGGAAGAGGAAGAGGAAGAGGAGGAGGAGGAGGAGGAGGAAGAAGAGGAGGAGGAGGAGGAAGAGAAAAGTAGTGAGGAAGAGAAGGAGGGGCCTCTTGATGTAAATGTGTTCATCCGGAGCTCTGGGCTGATATCTCACTCCTACAACCTGGACCTGAACCTCAGTCCTGGTGGGTCCACACACACACACACACACACACACACACACACACACACACACACACACACACACACACACACACCACACACACACACACACACACACACACACACACACACACACACACACACACACACACACACACACACACATACACGCACATACACTTACACATGCACATACACACACACACACATATACGTATACATCGAATACTGACTGTCAATCAACATTTGTAAACTTCCAGACTAGTTTCTTTAGGCTGAGTCCGTATGTGTCTGGCATTGGGATTGTTTGCTCAGAAAACATTGTATGTCCCCTTTCTACTATCTCCTCCCTACTATCTCCTCCCTACTATCTCCTCCCTACTATCTCCTCCCTACTATCTCCTCCCTACTATCTCCTCCCTACTATCTCCTCTCTACTATCTCCTCCCTACTATCTCCTCCCTACTATCTCCTCCCTACTATCTCCTCCCTAACAAAGACAACATAATCATTAGGATGTATCATGTGACAACTCTGTCATATTTTTTGTAGAAATACAATCTGATATTCTCCATGTAAGGTTTTTGTTTCCTTCTCTTTTCCAGGTCTTCATGTCAGGGAGACGGAGGATAATGAGGCAGTGGTTACCACGGTGATAGACCTCCATCGGCTGATAATGAGCAAACACCTACCAGCTGTGCAGAGCTGGGTTCAGGTCAACACACACACACACACACACACACACACACACACACACACACACACACACACACACACACACGCACATACACTTACACACACATGCACATACATACATACACTTACACATTAGGGCTGCACGATATATCGTGTCGTGACGATAATCGCGATATGCGCATGCGCGATATTCACATCGCAGGACGTGCGATTTTGTATGTGTGTGTGAGTGTGTGCAGGTGTTCACTAAGTCCTGTGCTGAGCAGCGTCTCCTGCAGAGGGCTCTGGACCTGAAGAAGAGTTTAGAAACTGCGCTGCAGAAACACAAAGAGCTGCACATCGACTACAAGACCAGACAGCGTAGAGTGGTGAGTGCCCCCCCCCCCCCCCCCCCCCCCCCGCAGTGTGGGGAGTGCCCCCCCCCAGCTACATCTGTCTGGGGTCTGAGCTGAGTCTAAGGACATCACGTAATGTCCTTAGACTGGTCAGGTTAATAATTCCTCACTAGCATATGAAAACATCTCAAATCAATTCATAAAGAGAGCTCCCAGCTTGTGTTTGTGACGCTCACCCAGGTGTTTGCTTGGTAGGCTTCTGTACCTGCAGGATTCTGGCTTTTGAGTTTGGCTGATTGCACTTATTGGAGACACTTGGGATAAAAGCATCAGTTGAGGAAAAATGTAATGACAAATTGAGGAGGAGGGACCAACTAGTGGAAACCTGTAGGAATGTGTTATCTTCCTAAAGGAATATCAGCAGCGGCACTTCAGAGGGGAGAAGAAATGGGAACGGGTCGCGTCAATTTGACTTTAAAACAAGGTGTTACAGATAAACTACTTTCATTATATTAATTAAGGTTAGCTGATAGCTTTTGTATTACATTATACCTGCACTCAGTGATGAGGGGAGAACATCTATGATGAGCAGGAACATAAATGACGAGACACTTCAGATGAACATATTGACATTTTGAAGACAAGCCTACAGGCAGATGATTTAGCAACACATGTTTATATATACAGTGTTTTGTTAAGAAAGAGCATGGCCAGCAGAGGGCAGCATGCTACTGCAAATGAGACAACATCGGCACTACACACACCGCACACACTATACACAGGCCACACAGTGAGAAGGCCAGATGCAGAGGCGTGATGAGCCTGAATGAACATTACATTACATGTCACTTGTTAGACGCTTTTATCCAAAGCGACTTACATACTCAATACTGTGGGCAATCCCCACAGGAGCACTTTGGGGTGAAGTGTCTCAGGGACACAACGACATGCTGACTGCAGTGGGGTTTGAACCTGTGACCCCCCGTTCCGAACACCAACGCACAACCCACTGCACCACACGCCTCCTCTACATAAAGTCTGAGCTACATCAGAAACCTCTCCACACAGTGAGGTTTAATGCAAAACACATGTAGGACTAAGTGAAACTACTCTTCATATTTTTGCTCGGTATTTGGAGAAAGAAACTTGGTGTGAATCCTGCATCACATCATTTCTATCTCTCAAACTTGAATTGTCATCGGCTCACCACATTACATTTAGAGACTTTAGAGACACTAAGTCCAAATTGAAGCTTTCTCAGGCTCACAGTTACCAATCCTATGGAGTGTTCCTAACCCTTAACCTCACAGGTGATCTCCTACTGGGCATGTGCACACCTCCAAGTGTGACTATTATCACTAGTACTCATAAACACACTTTGTACAATGTGCATAGCAGAGGCTCAGCAGCACCACCTGGTGGCTGCTGACAGGACTGCAGCTCCAGATGCTTGTCACCACTATGGTCAACACAGCTCTCTGTTTTTTAGAAACAGCCAGTCTTTAAACTGTGGAAAACACAATGAAGTCCAATCATGAATGACCCGCACCAGACACACCTTGACATACAGCCCAGTTCTGCTTTCAGCAATATCAAGTGTTCAGGCTGACAGGAATTAAGAACACAAAACAAAGTCTTTGTTGGCTTTAGACACCAGAGGGATAACAAGCATAATGCCAGTTAAATGAACACATTTCCTTTTGATGATGAGATGATGTTGTGTTTTCATTTGCATGCCTCTGAAAGTGTCCTCTTGATGTTTTGTTTTCAAACGTCTCTCTTTACATTTCTGCGTGCTCCCAGGGGGAAGCACCACGATAAAGACAGAGAGCGGGAGGATGCACATATGAATAGAGAGGTGAGATAGCAGAGCACAGCCATAATGCATAAAGCATCAGAGACAGAGAGAAGAACTTGGGGAGCAAGGGGGAAGATGTACCCATTCATTCCCTTCAGAAGCACTAATGTGCCCCGCGGCTGTCTGCCTCCTCTTCATCACGCTCAGCCGCTCTGCTGGAGCCGGCACAGGCTGACGCTGTTGGCAGAGAACCTGCCATTGGGAAGCTCTCCTTCCTCACTAGCTGCTGGGTTGAGAGGGTTTCATTGCTCTGTGTTTCAGAGCTGGGCACACACACACCTGCAGTGGGGAGACAGAAACAAGAGAAGAAGAGAGCAACGAACAGCAGGCTGCAGATTCAGGGTTTAAAGGTCCAATGAATGCTTTGTGCGTTTGAAGGAAGGCGTAACAGAAACACTCATACAACTTCTGTATATGGCACATGCAAAGGTTTTGCTTATCAAAAGCTTCTGTACCTGCAGGATTCTTTTTGAGTTTGTATGGTGGCTACACTTATTTGGAGAGACTTGGCTGGAAGGTGTCCACCTGTAGGAATGTATTATCTTCCTAAAGTCATATGTACAGCAGAGTGGACAGAGCCCGCCATTTGGAAGCTCTCCTTCCTCACTAGCTGCTGGGTTGAGAGGGTTTCATTGCTCTGTGTTGCAGAGCTGGGCACACACACACCTGCAGTGGGGAGACAGAAACAAGAGAAGAAGAGAGCAACGAACAGCAGGCTGCAGATTCAGGTTTTAAAGGTCCAATGAATGCTTTGTGCGTTTGAAGGAATAAAAGTTGTATAGTGTGAATCCATCGCAGGAGAGTGACAGTGACAGAGCGCCGGGCGCCTCGCTCCGCCTGCTTATCACTGTCAGGAGCAGTCTGCTGCTCCACAGCCCAGCCCCGCGATAACCACACAACTTACAGCCCCTTTATCATAATTAGCTTTTCCTTTTTAGCCTTAAAAGGCCTTCCATTACCGGGTCCTTCTCTATCGCCCCGCTGACACGCCGCACGATTGGTTTCTCTCTCAGCGGGCCTCTCAATACAGTCTCCCATAACGGTGAGCAGGGGAGAGAAGAGGGGGTTAGGGAGGCAGATAGAGAGGCTTGTTATTCAATAAGACAATGAGACGGGCTGGAGCCACATCTGCATCATGCAGGGCATTACTGCTGGAAACAGATGCACATGTCACCACTCATGGCTGACGGCTCTGTGCATGGGATATTGGAGTTTCACAAAGCTAAGAAGAAAACATACTTTATTAATCCAATCAAATCAAAATCTCATTTTCACTATGTCATTATTTTAAAGAACACACCTAGGCCTGAAATACACCCTAGCACACATGGAGCTACCATGGTTGGGGTTAGCAGTTAGCACACTTTGTATTTGGTCCAGCCTCCAGTTCATGCCATGTCCTGACAGAGCTAACACTGTAGCATGTGACTGTTGAGGTCCAATCTAGTGTGCTAATGCTAATTTAGCATGCAGGGTCTTGAAGCTGGTCCAATGATCTAGATAGAGACTTGAATTCTCTTAATGTAGTTGTTTTGAGCCAAGGCATGGTGAAGCCAATAGGATGGCAGGACCTCTCCACTGTGTGTGAAGGCAGCTGAACTCAAACACAAGCCCCTGCTGTTCTGGAGTCTCTACATTTGGAGTTACCTCCTGTACTCCGTTCTAGAGCTGCACAATTCATCACATTTTTCAATCGAAATATGTAACATTGAATCTGCAGGAAGCACATTATTTGTTAAAGGCTAAATGTGTGTTAAAATATTATTTTGGTTAAATTGTGGAGCTTGAATTCTACATAATTTAACAAAACATGTTTGTTTGGTACAGATCCTCTTCAAATAGTCACAACAGAATAATTGTGATATATTTTTAATGATAATAAGAATTCCAAAGCAAACGTAATACATTTCCACAATAAGTATCATCTTATCATAATTGAAATACCAGTCCAAATAATCACGATTAGTTATTTTTCCAAATCATGCAGCCCTTCATCGTTCTATCCAGCTGCTCCGCTATCATAGACAGGTTGTTAGAGGTGGTGTTAAGCTCCGCTAAGCCCCCCTCTGGAGACGGTGTTCTGAGAGAATGTGAGCTGAAGCCAGGACTGAACTGTGGAGAGTTGATCTATAGCCTCTTTGCTCTAGTTTGACCTCCAGGACTTTCAGGTCCCTTCAGGTAGGAATAAAGAAGTGTATACTGATTCTCAACTCAGGGCATCTGTTGATGCTGAGCACTCATTTGACACCAGTGGTGTCTTTTTTCCAGTTCTAAAGCCTGTCTATTGTCATCTCTGTTTTGAAGTCCTTGGGATGGTTTTTATATCAGGAGATAACACGAGGCCAGGGACTGCTGTGACACATGTAACCTATAGCTGATACCAGCTGGTGAAGAAACCGTGGTTACTGTGTCAGTTTCAATGTGGAGAGCAGTAGATCTAATTAGATATCCATGTGTACGTTCCACACATACACTGATACAGTGATGGTGTATTGTTGTAGGGAAAGCTAGCATTAAGTTAGCATTGTAAGGATACAAAAAGCAATGGGATTTTTCCTTTGGATTTCAGAATATTGTAGAAAATATGATCTTTGTCAAACACACGTTTATCATCATTATACATATTGTTCAACAGGATCATCTACACATAATATCACCACTTTATGATCTTTTTTCTTTTCTTTTTTCTTTCTTTTTTTTATTTGCATAAAAGAATGAACAGTTACAGACCATCTACTTTATGATTTTTCAAGCGTTAATGCAATCGCCAGAAGTAAAAAGCTAACGTTGGGCTATAAGCAAACTACAGCACAGTCACATGACTTCACATCCCCAGCGCTACGCTAAAGGCAGCTGATGTTGGCCATTTTAGTCTCATTGTTAGCAACTGCCGTTTTGATTGCCCTTAGAGGCTTCAGACATTCACCAGCGGGGTTTTAACTGATGTATTTTGACGTTCAAACAGCTGAAGCCTGTGTGACCACACCTTATTTCAGGCATCTAACATTGGCTTTAAAATTGGGGAACAGGAATTGCCAAATGTGAACTCATTTGTGAATTGTAGGACTCATTCCTGCACCACTCCATTGATTGTGTTACAGTGGTGTCATGAGGTCTTCTTTCCCTTCAGTTCTTTGTGTGCACAATAGAGTGCGACACCATGAATGTGTTCACA